TTTTTTTTTTTTTTTTTTTTTTGAGAGAGAGAGAGAGAAACAGCATGAGAGGGGAAAGGGTCAGAGGGAGAAGCAGGCTCCCCGCTGAGCCGGGAGCCCGATGTGGGACTCGATCTCGGGACTCCGGGATCATGACCTGAGCCGAAGGCAGTCGCCTAACCAACTGAGCCACCCAGGCGCCCCTAATTTCATGAGTTCTAAGAGGCTGTTGAGCCCGACACTATTGGGATCTTGGCGAGGGTGAATCCGTTATCATCATTTGCTGCATTTTGTCAGGGAGCTGACCCCTCTTCTCAGTCTGTCCTCCCTGTGGTGTTTGATGGTGTCTCTGCGTCTCTCTCTCTTTCTCTCCAGGCCCTCATGTTCCTGAGGTTACAGGGAAACCAGCTTGTGGCGCTGCCGCCTCAAGAGAAGTGGACCTGCAGACAGCTCAAAACCCTGGATCTTTCCAGAAACCAATTTGGCAAGTAAGCATGGGGGCTCTTTACCCTGGCAAGTTCTAAAACACATGCGTAACCACAGTCCAGCAGCCCCTTGGGCTGGTGGCTCTGTTGGTTTATTAGGGCTGCAGTAACAAAGCACCACAGGCTAGGGGGCTTATGCAAGACACGCCTATTCCCCCCCTCCCCCACGCTTCTGGAGGGGGGCAGGTCTGAGGTTTCTCCCGAGGCCTCTCTCCGGGGCTTGCATAGAACCCCCGCTTCCCTGTGTCTCACATGATCTTCCCTCTGTGCGTGCCTGTGTCCGAATCTCTTCTTAGAAGGACACCAGTCAGATTGGATTAGAGTCCACTCATATGACCTCATTTTAACTTATTTACCCCTTTAAAGACCTCACTTCCAATTACAGTCACGTTCAGAGGTCCTGGGGGTTAGGACTTCAAAACATAGGGGCTCAGTTAGTTAAGCGTCTGCCTTGGGCTCAGGTCACAATCCCAGCATCCTGGGATCGAGCCCCACATCTGGCTCCCTGCTCAGCGGGGAGTCTGCTTCTCCCTCTCCCACTCCCCCTGCTTGTGTGCTCTCTCTGTCAAATAAATAAATAAATAAATCTTAAAAAAAAAAAAAAGACTTCAAAACATAAATTGGAAGGTGAGGGGCACAATTCACCCATAACAGCATCCTCCCATTTCTAAAGTTTAAAGGCTCCTGGAGGATCTTCTCACGCCTAATCTGTCATTCTTTTCCAAAGTTTTGGCGAACCACTCACCAAATGCACATCCATTGAATAAAAATCACTCCCAAAACCTTATAATAAAAGATGAAAATCTGGGGATGAGCACATCTGGCCCTTGGGGTCCTGGAGACCAGCCTCCCTATTTCACTTGCTGAAGCCCACTTTTAGCGGGACTTGACCCCCGAAAGAGAATCCCCCCACCCCAGTGAGAGTGTGTGATATGGAACAGCCACTGGAATGGGCCATCTTGCCAGGCACAGAAATGCTCACACCTGCCTGAAATGGAAAAGCTCAAGAATCGAAATCACCGTTGGTCATGCTGAGCTTAAGCAGTGCCATTAGCAGGCAGGGGCTGTGGATGCTTACCTAGTAGCTGCAGGGGGCCCAAACACCCTGCTGATGGAATGTTCTCCCTTATCTCCGCATGGCTCGGCATTATATAGTCCCAGCAAAAATTGTCATGCTCTTCTCAAAATCATTTTTTTTGCCCCTGCAGAAATGAAGATGGACTGAAAACAAAGCGTATTTCCTTTTTCACCACCAGAGGGCGCCAGCGTTCTGGGACCGAGACAGGTGTGTGAGTCCCTGGGGGCAGATGAGACCGCCGGGCAGGCAGTTCCCTGCCCCACCACCGGGGGGCGCCCTTGCATGGGGCTTTCCCCGAAAAACCTGGGCGCGCACTGTGCCCGTTGCTCATCAGACAGGTGTGGCCTGCAAGTATCCTGAAACCCTCTTTCCTGCTTGCAGTCCAATGAGACTGATAGCTATTGTGTGAGTGAGCACTGCCCTAGAGATGGTACACCTGTTAGTGCCTTTCTGTAAGGCTCATGGCATGGGGTATGGCTTGGGGTTCCCGATTTTGCAGGTGAGGAAGCTGAGGCTCCCACTGGGTTGCAGTCAGCTCAGGTTCCCATAACAAAGCACCACAGACTGGGCAGCTGAGACAATAGAAATGTATGCTCTCACAGTTCTGGAGGCTGGAAGTCTGAGATCAGGCTCCTTGTGAGGGTCTTCTTGCTGTTTTTTCAGAGAGAGACAGACAGAGCAAGCTCTCTGGTGTCTCTTCGTATAAGGGCACTAATTCCCCCTCATGGGGACCCTACCTTCATGACCTCATCTAAACCTAATTACCTCCTAAAGGCTCCAACTCCAAATATCATCACATTGAGGGCTAGGGTTTGATGTATAAGGGGGGGGGCACAATTCAGTCTACAGCACAGGGGCTGACTGACTGGCCGCTTGGCGACAGAACCAGGTTTCAGCCCAGCGCTGAGGGACCCCAGCCCCGAGGTTGGGAAGGGTAGCACCGTGAGGTCTTCACGACCACACTGTAGCGTCTGATGAAGACCACATGGGAGCACAGCCCCACCGTCCTGGCCAGCCTGAGATTCTGTTTTCCCCCAAACTCATCAGAAACAGAACTGTTCCTAGAATGTTCTTACTGGTCTTACAACCAGGCCAGCCCAGCAGACAGCATTCCAGGAAAACAAATTCTTCTCATTCGTCATTTTCTGAGAGGTAGGGGGGGAAGGTGTATACCTGTCCCTTGAGCTCCTCAGCAACCCCCCCCCTTTTTTAACCTGAAAGCAAAGATTTCTAAAGCCAGCTACGCTCACATAAATATCCCTCAGGATGCTGTCCTGGAGAACAGGAACCAATATTTAGGTCATTCTCAATGTGACATAACTTTCTTCTTTGGCTCAGTTTATGTTGGCAAGTGCTCTTTTAGCACAGATGGTGTAAGATGGGGACAAGAAATGCCAGAGGCCAGGACACATTTGCAGATGACCTAAATAGTCTGTCCACCTCTTACACGTCTTAATGAACTGGTATGTGTGTATATATACACACATTATACATACGCATCAGTCATGTGTGAGTGTGTGTGTCTACATGTGATTAAAAAAGTAACATGTCATCAGTGGAACAGACCTAAGTAAATAATAGGAACTTAGCATATGATAAGGTGGCATTTCAATTTAGTGGGGGAAACATGTTCTGTTGTTTTAATAAATACTGTGTTATACCTGCCTGTCCAGTTGGAAGGGAAAAATCACAACACTGGATTCCCTACCTTACATCTACTACAAAAATTTCCATGTGGACTTCAGATTTTTAAACATTAAAGGAATAGAAAACTATAAACATTTAAGAGAATATAGGTAAAATTTGTGGATGGAGAAGTCCTTTAAAAACTAGGTGGGGAATCCAGAAGTCCCTAGAAAAAGACCAAAACCTTGGGCTTTGTAAAAATTGAAAAGCTTTGTTCAGTAAAAGGCATCATAAACCAAGTCATAATGCAAACAGACTGAGAAGTATTTTCAATGCAAATCATTGCGACATAAATTGGCTTGAGTCCCTAATATACAAAGACTGCTTACAAATTAATTTTTTGAAAAGGACAACTCAATTGGAAAAAAAAATAGGGGAGGGCAATGGATATAAACAGTTTGCAGAAAAGGAAGTCCAAATGGCCCAGAAACAAATGAGAAGGCCCCGAACCACACTAATGGGGCCACACAATGAGGAATTTCATAACTCATCCTTTTTAAAACGCGGGGCCTTAGGACTTTGGAAATTGAGTCCAGACATAAGGGTTTCACTTGGAAGGAAGGATAAACACTTTCTTCTCATTGATGCCAAAACGGTATAATACCCGTGAAAAGTGTAGCTGGGATAGACCTCGGTCAGGCTTCTATTGCTATGGGTTGAGCCTCGTCCATCTGAGTGGATTAGAAAGGTGTCTCCAGTTTGGAAATGCAGCAGGGCAAGAGGAGGTAGGGCCCAACACTCAGTGGGACCAGACACTCCCCTGTGGAGCCGTCAGAGTACAAGGCCAAAGGCATGCCACAAAAAACACAACAAGAGCGTGTACTAATGTTCTGGAAAATGGTTTTGCTGGTGGCTCTCAGGAGCCTGGCTGTGGAGTGAGGTGAGGAGGCCACACCCCTTGGAAGTTTCCCTGGCAGAGGTGGATGGTGGCTTTGGCACATGACAAAGGCCTCTTGAGTTTGTTAATTTCATCTCAAATGTTGAGGCCCACCCCTGGATGAAAAGAAGGAGACCCGGTTACAAATTCTTCCGGGGGGGGCGGTGGGGGGAGGTTATTCTCTGGGGGCTGTTGATCTTCGGGTAAGGAATTATCTATAAAAGCTAACTTGTTTGCAGATGGATAGTAAAATTCCAAGCAGATTTATGTGCATTCAAGTAGTCCTATTTGTGCGGCGGCCTCGTCCAAAAATAATTTGGACAGCCGTTTTTACGGTAAAATTCAGACCAGCAGAGTCATAAATAACTCTAGGCATAATTACAGTTCATAAATACCTGGTGCTGTGCTCTCCCAGACCCGCTTCTGCACGGGGCCAGGAGCTCTGTGACAGGTGCTGCTTCTGTTCCCCCATGGTAGTTCCTTATTCCGTCCGCCTGTTACTTAGGCTTCGTAAACACCAAGGTACAACTTGAAAATCAGAAAGCACAGAGGCCAGGTGTTCTGAATGTGTTCTCCGGGAAGAAAGTGAGCCTTTTTTTTCTCCCCGTGCATGTTCTTTCCATGTGTGTCGGGGCAGGCTAAAGTGAATCATTCTTTTTCATTGGGGGGGAAAAAAAGTCCTTTTGAGCATTTTCCTTACGTTCAAAGCCATCTTTAAGAGTCTGTTGCACCTTCATTACACTGAAGAAGGTACTGCACTGAGTCCTCTCCCCATGGGGGCCTACTGGGCTGGCTTTCCAGGCTCCGATTTCGGGATTCCGTTATCGTCTCTCCCAGAACATTCTCTGATCCTAGGTTACCCCATTACCATCGATACCACGGGTGACAACGTGTGGAGAAGAGCCAGAACGAAGGGAGGAAGTTGTGATCAAGGGCAGGAAAGTCGCTTCAGCCCAACAAAAGAATCCTGGCTTCTCTATCTTGCTGGGCTGTCAGAGGGCCAGAGGAGAGGGCTTTGGGGCCATCTTTTATCTTGAGTTCTGGGAGCTGGAGCTGAAAGGGACCCTTGCAGGCGTGGAGTCCTGCCCCCTCCCAGCACCCCCACCACCCCACCCCTCCCTGCCTTACCAGGGAGGATAAGGCACTTCGGAGATTCTGCTGAAACCTAAGTCTCTGATCCCCATCAGTTGGCGAGTCCAAGCTCCCACCCCAGTCTCTCTCAGCTCCCACACTGCGGTGCCCGAGGAAGGAACACATACAACATGATCTTAATGGGAATCTCATAATTAGCCTCATTAACAAAGTCGCTTAAATACCAGAGAGTTGGCCGGCTTTTCAGAGAGTGGCATCTCAGGCAGCCTAAAAACCAAGCCCATTGTATTATTTGTTAATGGATTGGCTTTTTTTTTTTTAATTGAAGAAGGCATGTCCACAATAAACAGAATTTTTGAGCAGTAGCAAATGGTGTGGAATGAATATCTAGTCTCCTAGTAGTTCCCTTCCCCAGAGACAATGGTGGAATTTGATGCGTCTGTAGTAACCATTATGTTTGTATCTAACATACATGTACGTGCATGTGCGCCTGTGTGTGTTCACATGCCTGTAACAGCATGTAACTTGCACACACGTGTGGTGTGTGTGCACGTCTATAACACCGTGTACCACCTGTGTGCATGTGTGGCCTGCACACAAACAGCATTGCAGAGCATCTCTATGCATTACGGCGCGCACACACATGAAACATACACACAGAAATGCACGGGATGTGTTTGCTCACATGCCTGCACACCCACGTTTTCAGTTCACCAATAGCTCTTGAGTATCACTTCATACCCGCACATGTAGACCTGCCCCATGCTTTGCAATAATTGTATATTCTCTCGTTACTCATCAGCCACCTCCCAGTAGGCTGTCTTCTGTCTTGGCTATTACAGTGTGCCATGGAGTGTCCTGCCCTCACATCATTGCCACACACGTGCACGGATGTCTGTAGGACCATCTCCTAGAATTAAAATCGCTCGGTCAGGAAGATGAGCACCTTACTCGGGGCGACTTGCCAAAATGTCCTCTGGAGGTTGAACCCGCAGGTCCACCCGGCTGGCCTGCATGCTGGGATGGTCCAGAATCATCTGCAAACATCCAGTCTGCTTTGCCATTTCTTTGCAGCGGGGGTGCTGGAATTTCCGGCCTTCCTAAGTGAGTCTTTGGAAGTCCTTTGTCTGAACGACAATCACCTGGACGCCATCCCTCCCTCGGTTTGCCTCCTGAAGAGTTTATCAGAGCTCTACCTGGGAAAGTGAGTACCCAGCCAGCGCAGGGAGGCAGAGTGTCCTCTGTAACCCATCTGAGGATCCGGACACTGGCGGGGGAAGGTGTAGGGGGGAAGAAGCCATCTATGTACCCGGAGGCAGCAGGGGGACTTGCAGAACCGGGCTTAGTCAAAGAGGTGGGTGAGGGGAAGGCAGGGGCTGTGAGAACTGCTCAGTCAGTCATCCTTCCATTTACTGAAAACCTACCGCCAGGCACCACGGAGGGGGTGCAGTGTGCGAAACAATGAAAATATCAAATAATTTCGTTACATTGCCTTTTTGAGAAGAGACACTGATAATCTTTATGGCATCGTAAAAAATAGAAGAGATGAGGACGGTGGGGGAGGAAATCTAGTTCTAAGCCACAGGGATCTGCAGAAGACAGAGCTGGCTTTCTAGCGAGAAAGGCTTTGGAGTTATTGTCTAGACAGAACGCTCGAAAGCAGAGCCCGAGATGTCGGGGTTGGGGTGCAGGGCCCAGAGGCTGCGAGGTTGCTGCGTGCGTGGGTGTGGGGGGGTGTGTGCATGTGTCCTCCCACGGTGTCCTCCCATGGTGTATGTGTGCCCTCAGCAATCCTGGCCTCCGCGAGCTCCCTCCTGAGCTGGGGCAGCTGAGCAATCTCTGGCAGTTGGACATTGAAGACCTGAACATCAGCAACGTGCCCACGGAGATCAAAAAAGAAGGTAGGGCTTCTGAGGCACTTCCCCCTCCTCTGGGGAAAGAGGACTCAAGTCCGGTCATTAAGGACCTGGGCTGGAAGCAGCTTGGGCTCCCGTGGTTGGGTACCACTGTATTGCAGTTAACCGTACGATAAAACTATCTATGATTCTCTGGGCAGGAAGGATATTGTCTTTAGGCCCTTGACTTTTGGACTCCACTTTTGGGGTAATTATGACCGCAACTCCCCGCCTCCAATCCGACCCAATCGCCCTCTCCACTTCCCCCCATTAGAACACATGGAAAGTGTTCCTTCAAGACAGGATTTTTGTTTCCCAAGAGCTGTGAGCATGTTCTCGCCCGCATGTCAGCAGCATCTACTTTCCCCACTCTGTGATTTTGCATAGGCCCCAAAGCAATGTTGTCCTACCTGCGCGCTCAGCTGCGGAAAGCAGAAAAGTGCAAGCTGATGAAGATGATCATCGTGGGTCCTCCGCGCCAGGGCAAGTCCACCCTCCTGGAGATCTTACAGACGGGGAGGGCCCCCCAGGTGGTGCACAGCGAGGCCACCATCAGGACCACCAAGTGGGAGCTCCAGAGGCCAGCTGGCTCGAGAGCCAAGGTCAAGGATGGTCGGCGTGCAGAGTTCCCCAGGGGTGGGAGGGAGCTTCCCTGGGTCCCTTCTTTCTCCTCTCCAGAGAGCCTGCGATTTTCACAGCCTGGTGTCTGAGGCCCAGCATATTTACAAGGGCCGCTCCTGCCAAGGACGGTGAATAATTTCTTAATAATTTCTTAACATGACCTCGTGGGTGTTCTGTTATAGTTAAGTTGAGGCTTCGGGCCAGTGGTTCTTAATCTTGGCTGTCCATTAGATTTCTCTGATGAGCTTCTAAAGACAGCAGTGGCCAGGCCTTTCCACTCCTGGCCCTAAGGATGGCATTTCAAATGGTCCGGGGTAGCTGCCCCCCAAAGCTGAGAGCAAACTGCTACTCTAGGCAGTGAGACACAGGAGCACCTGGCCCTGATGAGGAGGCTGAGAGAGCACTCCTAGAATGAATGCGCTGTCCTCCCTGACACCTGCTTTCACCCCAAGCTCTGAAAAGTCGAGTTCTTGAGCCCCTACTTAAAACGAATCCTTTGGCAACTCTTAATCATCTTGTATTCTGTTCAGTATGAGACATAGGAAAATGAACATTGTCTTGCCCTGGAATCAGAGGAAAGAGCCTGCAGAAGAGTTGGAGGGACAGACCATAGCACAGGCCCTTAGCTGTTTCTCCCAGCTCAGGGAAAGAACGCACACCCATAAGCCTCCCCTTACCTGTCACCCGCCGTACTTGTGGTCCCACGGAGCCACACAGGGATCCAGGTGCAAGGAGGCTGTATGGGGCAAAACCAAGGGGCCTTGGGGCCAGAGGCTGCACGATGTCCCCCGACGGCCCCCAGCACAGGGCCAACTAGAGGCAGGTTTCCTTGCAAAGTCTTTTACAGAAAATCACTTTCCAAGTTGGGCATTCCAGTTCGGATCATTAGGCATTTAAGCTGTATATTTTAACAGACTCAGAAACTGGTCCTGTACAGAGCAGAGTCCCACCTCATAGTCCAGGACAGTCAAATACCTAATCCCGGCAGAACCACCACCACCCCAGAACACCCCAGGAGTGAATCTCACTAACTCATGTCCAGGAGCTCTCTAAAGTCACCCAGAATCTCTGGATTCTCTCCTGGTTTTTTGTTTTGTTTTTTAAAGCAGTTACTCAGTATCACTTTCTTCCAGCCCGTCTTTAGCAAACAGTGGTCCGAGCTCCATGGGGTGAATTGCTGTTTCCAACTTTCTTGTCCTTTGGCCCCCACTTCCTTTTGGCCACCATTCTAATTTCCCCTCCTTTGTCGAAGGACAACCACCACCTGATCTCTTGAACGCGGAGCCCCATCCCTGCCTGTGTGTCTGGGCCCTCAGCCAGTTTAGAATGGCTGTCCATTTTCACTCCCTTGCAAAAGCAGGTCAGCACGCCTCATCTCGGCGGCCAACATGCAACTTCTCGGAAATGATCCTTTGCTGCAGAACGCTGCAGTCTTGGCTGCTCGGGCCAGACTCTTAGGTCATAGTACCATGGAGAAACCACCGTTTACACAGCCTTTCCCCGCAAACAGCTAATCTTTTGTGTGATTCCCACGTCGGGGCGGCTTCCCATCATCCTTGGTGGGCGCCACCCCGCGGCCTACACAAGTGCAGAGGCCCGTCTCCTGGGCCGCGGCCTCCCACGGATGGAGGTTAAGCCTCGGCATGAGCTCTGGCGTCAGCCCCGGGGCCCCCTCCAGCGGGAGGTCTAACCGTCTGCAGCAGACAGAGGCAGGGCCGTGTCCCCAGTGTTCTGCAGACACAGGTGGATGCAAACACCCCAGCCCCCCCGGGAGCCCGCCGTCCAGGGCCCAGCCCCCTGCTCTGTGAGTGGTAGATAGAAGCTTCCAGAAGTCCCACCTCCGCACTGCTGGGCCCCTTTCCCTCGCTTGGGTTCCTTGATTCCCGAGACAAACGGCAGGACGGGCCAAGCTCTTCCGCTGCAACCGTGGTCCCTAAATGCCTCCTGTCGTTGCCCCTGTTGCTCAAGCAGGTGGAGTCTGTGGAATTCACCGTCTGGGACATCGGTGGCCCCGCAAGCATGGCCACCGTCAACCAGTGCTTCTTCACAGACAAGGCCCTGTATGTGGTGGTCTGGAACCTGGCACTGGGGGAGGAGGCTGTGGCCAGCCTCCAGTTCTGGCTGCTCAACATCGAGGTGAGGAGACGCCAGCCCTGCAGCTCCCGGGCCTCGGAGCATCACGGGGGATGAGGGGGCGCCTCTTCTCTGAAGCATCCCCCTTTACTGAGGAAAAACAAGGGAAGCGGTCAGGGAGAAACGCTGGGCATCTTGGCGGGCGTCCAGAGGACCCCCGAATTATAGGTCACTGTGGAGCGCTTAAAACCCTCCTCGGCCAGATGGTTGTCCGAGCTCTCCTAATTTTCTTCTACCTTAAATTTAAGAGCCAGCCCCTCCCCCTCAACTGTTGGACCCAAAAGGAAGACAGAGCTCCCCTCTCACAGGTAAAGATGATAAGAGGCTGGATGCAGGCCAGGTCACAGGTAGCTGACGCACTGGCTGAAGGGATGGGAAATCCAGCCCTTCTGGGGTGTCTCCCAGAACCCCTCTGCACAGCATGCCCTCGAGGTTCACAGAGGCTTCCTGGGAGCTGTTTCCCAGTCCCTTCTTGGAGTGAAGGGAGCCGATGCTCAGCTGTGGGGCTCTCTCCGGCAGGCCAAGGCTCCAAACTCGGTGGTGCTGGTGGTCGGAACGCACCTGGACTTAATCGAAACCAAATTCCGAGTGGAGAGAATCGCAACGCTACGCGCCTACGTGCTGGCGCTCTGCCGCTCGCCCTCCGGGTCCCGGGCCACCGGCTTCCCGGACATCACCTTCAAACACTTGCAGTGAGTGTCCTGCTCTCTGGTACCTGGTGCCCGGCTGGGGCTGAGGCTCCAGCTACCTTGCTTGTCCGTCTGCCCAGGGACTCTGGGGTCTGCCTGCAGAGGGCTCCTGAGCCAGAGGACTGGCAGGGCAGAGCCCTGACACACCCTCTCCAGGTGTGTGGGTCCCCTCCTCCCCTGTGGCCAGTGCTGAGCATGCATGGCCCCCGTGGGACCAGGAGATGGAAACTCATGTACCCCCTGTCACATTTGCTGATCTCTGGCCCATCACAGACTCCCCTGCATGGTCCTGGTCCTCACACTGGGTCTGAGTGGTCCAGGCCAGTGGCAGGGGGACCGGGGCCCTGGGCTTGTTGCTTCTCTCACCTCCTGTCCTTGGACTCACGACAGCCCCGTGGGTTATGGGGATCATTGTGCCCACTTCACAGATGATGGAAGGAGCTCAGCAAGTTAAGTAAGCCTTCTCTCTTAGGAATCAAGCATGGGTTGCTACACTGTACTGGAGGCTCTCGGATTCCCTCCCTCTGGGTGGAGTGCCACAGACCTCCGTGCAGGGATCAGCCTGGGGACACCCGCCTGCCTCAGAATGCAGATCTGGCTGATCCTGATGCAGAATTTCAGGAATTCTTCATGTGCCCTTGAGAACACCCCTGAGGCCTGTGACAACAGGGGCACCGGCTCTGGGCCAGACCTGGGTCCAACCCGAGTCTGCTCCTTTCCAGCTTGTGTCCTTGGGGGTCACCTTGCACTTCGGGCCTCACGTGCCTCCTCTGTAAAATGGGTGCACTCGGGACACATACCGCATCGCTCCCCGCACAGAGCTTTGCACCAAGTGAGACCTTAATACCTGTCTCTGCGTTCACCTTTCACGGGTTCTTTTAACTTGCCAGCATTAGGGACAAAACCTGTGGACACAGAGATGTTGCAGCGCTCGTCAGAGAGAAGCGGTGTGCTGAGTGATCACGTTCTGTTTTGCACTCACAGCGAGCTCTCCTGTAAGAGTCTGGAAGGCCAGGAGGGGCTGCGGCAGCTGATTTTCCATGTCACGTGCAACATGAAGGATGTGGGCAGCACCATCGGCTGCCAGAGACTCGCGGGGAGGCTGGTACGTACCTCAGCCTCCGGCTGCAACGAGGGGGGGCCCGCTTCCTTTCTGCCAGGAGCCCCAACACGTATGCCGCGTGCTCAGGCTCGGTGGTCCCCGTGCGAGCAGTTTTGGGACTGGGCGGGGGGAGGCCAGGGACGGGAGGGGTGAGAGGAGAAGCTCTCGTACTTGGGCCCCCAGGGAGTTGGGGGCGGCAGGCAGGGCTGGGTGGGCAGGGCATGCCTCGCCGCCTGCGGGGGCCCAGCCAGCCCACCTGTCCCCCCAGATCCCCAGGAGCTACCTGAGCCTCCAGGAGGCCGTGCTGGCTGAGCAGCAGCGCCGCAGCCTGAACGACGACGTGCAGTACCTGACGGACAGGCAGCTGGGGCAGCTGGTGGACCAGATGGCCGACAACGACATCAAAGACTATGAGGACCTGCAGTCCGGTGAGTGGGCAGCCTGGGAGGGCGGGGCGGGGGCCTCCGGGAAGGGGGGGTGCGTCCCATTTCTCACCGCTCTGCGCCTGTCTGCAAATGACCGTCAGAGCACTCTGGGTGGTTGTGAGGTGGGGGCAGTCACAGATTCCATGAGTAGGCACATTTGCAAAGATGGGGTCCGCGAATGCTGGAGATGGGTGGACCGGAGACCCCCGGCTAGCCGTCAGGTCAGCGCATCGGCAAGAGTTACGGGGTGCCGCTAGGGAACCCGGGGCGGGCAGCAGAGCCGTCGAAAGAGCCATGGGTGCTGGGAGCATTGCTTGCTTCCTAAGAAGAACTTGGGACTAGGTCACCCCAGAGTCCCTGTCACCCTTTGTCTGATGCTGCTTCGTCCTCCCCTTCCCTGGGCAGCCATCAGCTTCCTCATAGAAACCGGCACCCTGCTGCACTTCCCGGACACCAGCCACGGCCTGAGGAACCTCTACTTCCTTGACCCCATTTGGTTGTCCGAATGTCTGCAGAGGATCTTCAACATCAAGGGCTCGCGGTCAGTGGCCAAGAATGGGGTGATCCGGGCAGAGGACCTCAGGATGCTGCTGGTGGGGACGGGCTTCACACAGCAGACAGAGGAGCAGTATTTCCAGTTCCTGGCCAAGTTTGAGATCGCCCTGCCTGTGGCCAACGACAGGTGAGGCCACGGCCGGGCTGGGCTGCTCACGCTGCGTGCAGGAGGAAGGAGGGGAGACTGGGGTCACTGGTGGCTTGCAAGAGCTCCAGACCCGGGCCATGAGGACAGCCTGCCTGCCTGGGCTGGCGGCTCCTTCCTGTGCCATGGGTATCTCTTTTCGGGGGGTTCAAAGAAACGCAGTCACTGAAAAAAAATGCAGGAAAACATGCAAGAACGGCATTAAAAATATCTTGCGGGGCGGTGGGGTTCATGTTTTAGAGGGTGGATGGCTTGGTTATTTGGTAAATGCAAATGGGGTAAGTGACAAGGATGCGCATGCTAATTACACGGCCTGGCTTCAGAATGTGGTGGGGGGGGGCCGCTGGGGGGTGCACGTGGGTCCAATGCAGCTGGGCATTAGTGTAGGGCCTCCGTGCCCTAATTCCAGTTTCAGCCGCTTCCTGGGTCTGATGCTGATGTTGCCCACGAGGCAGTAGCCAGGACCCCAAATCCGCAGACCTTTTTCCATGCACCTACCATAGACCGTGTCACCACCCGCCCCCAGTCCTAGAGCTCTGGGGCATGCCCACTGGAGACTCCTGGGAGGCTGGCCCAGACCCTGTGTGGCCAGCCCACAGACTCCATCTGCATAGACTGCCTCCTGGGAGCCAGACCTGGGCCGCTGCGCCTAAGGCACCACCCAGATTTCTGCTAGATCTTATAACTATGGGAGAGGGCCTCTTGTCACTCCAGCCCCCTGGGAGCCATGAGTGAGTCCTAAAAGGAGAAACCCCAAAGAGGGATTGAAAGTCCACGTGATCCCTCATACCATGACCTAGGGGTATCCTTGACTTTGGTCCCTGCAAAGTGAGGCAGCCTCTGAGTTTACCGCATTGCCAAAATTGGACAATTTTCTGGTTATTTTATTGACAGGTTAGAGGATTGAGGGGTTACCAGCACTCAGTAAAAGCAAGCCAGTTATCATATACATATTTATGCCCAGTTGAACCATAAAATCAGCCAGGTCATGGCCGAGTCTTCTGGGAGGTTTATAGTACAGCGGGTGAGACCACAGAGCCAGAATGCCTGAGTATGAATCCCAGCTCCTTTCTTGTCTCATCTGTACGATGGGAATACTATTACCGACTAGTATTATAATTATTGTGAGGATTAAATCAGATAATACATGTAAAGTATGAAAAGTGTCTCTTGCACTTAAAAGCTCCAAAGACAGGGCACCTGGATGGCTCCGTCGGTTAAGCGTCCGACTCTTGATTGCAGCTCAGGTCATGATCTCAGGGTCTTGAGATCAAGCCCCACTTCGGCTTCTCGCTCAGCACAGGGTCTGCTTGAGATTCTCTGTCTCCCTCTCCCTCTGTCCCTCCCCCTGCTTGTGTGCCCACACTGCACGCTCACTCTCTCTCTCTGAAATAAATCTTAAGAAAAAAAAAGCTCCAAAGATATCAGGCGTTATCAGCATTATTATTATTACTCTTCCTTTGTGTTAAGTACCCAAAGTTATTCACATCTGGTTCCATACAGTGTCGCAAATGTCGGGGCATTTTCCATTTCAGCAAGGGTGTAATGGTTCCCTTGTGCCCTAGGCAAGTTCCATATCCTTGCACATAAACTTGTATTTGGCTAACAACGCTGCTCAGCATCTCTGAGCACTCCTACCCCACTGAGACAGTCGAGGTGGTGTAGTATGAGCCAGCTCCTCGGTATAGACGAGGTGCCCCTCACCCCAGGTTTTGTTCAGCAGACACGGGAAGAATTCACCTCTTTAATCCCCATCTTGCTGACTCTCTCTCTGGTCATTCCCCTGGTTCAGCCTTTCGCCACGAGTGATTGCTTTCCAGCAGGTTAGCAGGTGTCAGTGGTCTTTTTTTTTTAAGATTTTATTTATTCATTTGAGACACAGAGATAGATTGAGAGAGATCATGAGCAGGGAGAGAGGCAGAGGGAGAAGCAGGCTCCCCGCTGAGCAGGGAGCCCGATGTGGGGCTCAATCCCAGGACCCTGGGATCATGACCTGAGCCGAAGGCAGACGCTTAACCATCTGAGCCACCCAGGCGCCCCGGTGTCAGTGGTCTTGAGAAGAGCTTGCTTCTGTTGCCAGTCAGTTTGAATCCTCCCCCACCCCCCGCGGGCTTCGGAGTGGTCTCTGCAGCACCTGCTCTGTGTGCGCTGAGCAGCCTGCTGGGGCACCTGGGCTCAGAGCCTGCTCCCTCCCCTCACTCAGCACCTACAAGGAGAGCAGGAAGCTGCAGGACCTGGCCAGTGTAAGCTCCAAGCTGAGTGTGGTGTGGGCAGGAGAAGCCGAATAAATCACTGCAAAGGCACTGACGACGGCCTCCAGATTGGGGAGGGACACAACACATAGATAAACAAGGACTTTTCAGAACATGAAGGAATAAATCAGCCCTGGGTAAAGGCCTAGGGGTGGAAGGAGGACCCTCTAGCTGGGGTGATTGAGAAGTTCCTCTTACCCCAGATCTGAAGTGGCTGAAAAGGACCTAAAACTTCACTGGCCTGCCCCCTCGGCGCCTCCCCTCCACCAACCCTGTGGGAGTCCTTTCTCTTCCCACGTCAGGAAGCAGAATCTGCACAAGGCTACACTGTGTGCTGAAGACACAGAGCCGGGATGGACGCTTCTACGATATTTTCAGGGGTCTCTTCCAGAATGTTCTTTTTTTTTTAAAGATTTTATTTATTTATTCATGAGAGACAGAGAGAGAGAGTGAAGCAGAGGGAGAAGCAGGCTCCCAAGGAGCAGGGAGCCCGATGCGGGACTCGATCCCAGGACCCTGGGATCATGACCTGAGCCGAAGGCAGACGCCCAACCATCTGAGCCACCCAGGCGCCCTCTTCCAGAATGTTCTAAGGACATTTTATCGGAGCTAAACTGATGTATTTTAAAAGCCTCAGGGGGGCTGAAGGCCCGGCCTTTGTTCAGAAAAGGGCCCACCGGAGAGCTGCCCTGTGCCTGCCCAGCAGCTCCACGCACACAGAAGATGCTGATTTTCAGGCGCGCTCTTGGAGGGGCCTCCTCAGCTTCGGCTGCTGTCAGCTGACTCGGTGACTCAGCACTTTTAGGATGAGCAAGAGCGCCCTCATAAAACATCCCTCTGGAAAAAAATAAATCCCTCTGTGCACAAACAGCCTCATTCTAACTTTTAAGGCAACGGGGTTGTCTCAACCGTCCAAGAACAATAAATAGCTTCGAAGGCCAGAAACATGACTCCTGATACTTGGAACCCTGTGGCTGTATTTGCGTTTCCTTCACCATCCAAAGTTAATTTTAAGCGATTCCCCGGTCACAGCCCTGATCACAGAGAGGGAACCGAGATTTATTATGTCTGATGTGTTTATGACCACAGACATTTTCATGTCTTCCCTTAGCATATTCTAGTCGCCGTCCTAGAGGCCTTCCTTGAGAGCTATCTTTGCTGTTCCCATCTTTGTTTCCTCTTGGAGCATTTATTCTCAAACACAGAAACTACTCTGTCTTTCTAAAAGTAGAATTCCAGGGGCGCCTGGGTGGTTCAGTCGGTTAAATGTCTGCCTTGAGCTCAGGGTCCTGGGATCAAGTCGGGCATCGGGCTCCCTGCTCAGTAGGGAGTCTGCTTCTCTCTCTCTCTCTCCCTCTGCCTGCCACTCTGCCTACTTGTGATCCCGCTCTCTCTCTCTCTAATAAATAAAATCTTTAAAAAAATAAATACATACATAAAAGTAGAATTCCAAAGGCCCTGCAGAGGAGGGGGAAGGCACCGGGGGCAGCGGGCCCAGGCCGGGCGGCACCGCTCACCTGTCCCCATTGATGTGTTCCAGCTACCTTCTGCCACACCTCCTTCCATCCAAACCTGGCCTGGACACTCACGGCATGCGGCACCCCAAGGCCAACACCATTCAGAGAGTGTTTAAGATGAGTTTTGTTCCCGTCGGCTTCTGGCAAAGGTTTATAGCACGGATGCTGATCAGCCTGGCGGAGATGGACCTGCAGGTAGCCAGTTTCTGCTTGGGGGTGGGGGGATGCGCACGCGCAGGGCACCTGGAGCTGTGCCCTCACGAGAAGGAGAGGCCCTTTGCTGGAAGATCTTGACTGAAACCCCTTTTCCTGCAGCAAAGCTGCTGCCTTAGGCCCCGGAGGCCAGCATGAGCATAGCTGCCTTCTCTTCTGTTGGCTGGCAGACCCCTTTGCGCCATCCTATGAATACCAAACCGGCACCTAGCTGGTTCAGAATACACGTTTAGGAGCCATGGTTGTAAACCAATCCACACCAAAAATCCCCTGGAAGGCTTGTTAGAACAGAAATGGCTGGGCCCCCTCCGAGATTCTGATGCAGTGGGTTTGGACTGGGACCCAGCATTTTTCGTATCTAACCACTGTCCCCAGTGATGCCATGGGTTTAGAGACCACACTTGGAGAACCGTGGCTTTAGAACCGTGGTTTTGCCACTCGGGTGGTGCACTAGACTCACCTGGGGAGCTTCTAACAGACATGGGCAGAGCCCAGGCTGCCTAAATTAGGATTTCTGGGGGCGGCACGCAGGCATTGGGAGTTTTTAGAGCTTGCCAGGTGATTTCACCGTCCAGCCAAGCTCAAGAACCACAGGTGTAGATCTTTAACTTGGTCTGGAAGCAGGGAAGACCTGACCCCAGGAGTTCCTTTCTGTGAGTTCATCTGGGGGGTTGAAAGGAGTCCTGGCTGTCAATGTTAATTTCATGCAAAACAGTAACATGAAAGTAGTAACAGTAACATGAAAATAGTATTTGGCTAGAGTGGTGTTTCTCAAAGCCGGATTCCTGGACTAGCAGAAGCGGCCTCACCTGGGAACTTGTTAGAAATGCAAATCCGTGGGCCCAGCTCACACCCACTATGTCAGAAACTCCAGGATGGAGCCCAGCGCTCTGTTTTTCACAAACCTTCCAGGAGATTCTGACCCACTCTACAGTATCAGCACCCCTGGTGTAAACTTGGACTGTTGGGTAATTGATGTTAAATTCAGCATGGGTTTATTTTTGCCACATTCTAATGAAAAGGCCTTTATGGAATTAACAACCCTGTGGCTAAATAAAGGTATTCTTTGATCTTCCCATTTTACTGAAATGTTAAAAAAAAAGAGAGAGAGAGAGAGAGAGAGAGAGAGAGAGAGAGCCTGAAAATCTAACTGCTGTGGCCCATGTTGGGGCAGGCGGACTTGTTTGCAAGGTTTGGGAGGCCCCACTGATGATGTGAAGAGTGGGTACAGGAGCTGGCTGGTCTACAGTTCTGATTCGGTCATTCTGCCCTCCCTTTGAACTGTCCTCCTGCCGCGTTCTAAGTGGGAGGTCACAGAACACAGGATTGTCATCGTGTGAGGCCTGAGCTCCCAAGTGGGCTCCGTGTGGGGGGTGGGAGACCCAGCTGGGCGTGGAGGCAGGCGCCCTTCCAGGCAGCATCCCTCCCTCCGAATGAGAGGAAAAGTCCCATTGAAATTCAGATGAGAAGGAGTTCAGTCTCAGGAGTAATCAAAGGCATACAAATTCAAGCAACAGATGAGATGCTGCCCACTTCGCACCTCTCAAATCAGACTAAAGCCACAGTGCCGGCCCCAGGAGCTTGACATGTTCACACACTGTGGTCAGTGCATATATGGTCTAATTGTTTCAAAAACGTTTCCTCAGTCCATATCCAGAGCCTAAAAACGTTCAGACCCTTTGACGCAATAACCCTACTGCTAAAAACGTGAGCGAAGGAAATCATTCGAAATCAGAGAATGCTTTGTGACTTTTTTCATGGTTCATTGGCCCATTTGAGGGAGCGAATGATTGGAAAACCTAAATATTCAAAGAAATGAATGATCTGCTTGGGAAGTCACTGTATTTCACAAAATACTGAGCTTTAGAAAAATGACTTTTATATGAGTTTTTAATGGCATAAGAAAAGTAAAGTTTTTAAAAGCATCCAAAATGAGAAATTTAGATAATTAGAAATAGAAAATATGGCTTCAGCTGTTTTCATAGTATACATAGATGTATACTATGATATGTATACATAGATAGAAACAAAAAATCCTAGGATAAAAGATACCAAAGTCTCTCTGCTTAGTGTTAAGTTGTTTCGGGGTTTTATGTGCATTTTTCTGTATTTTCTACATTTTCTAACCTGAATTTTTGCTTGTCAAATCAGGGAGGGAAAAGGTTTGAAAAAGAAGAGCCTAGTATCAGTCCTTTGGGAAAAATGTGCTCCCAGGGTGTCGTGGGGACCCTTCCAGATAATGCAGTGTTTAATTTGGCAGCGGGATGCGTGGCGCAGGAGGAGAAGGTGGGAAAGACGGGGGTCATTTATCACGACGGGGCCAGGCCGGCCTCTCCATAGCTCTGCCTGGGGCCAGCGAGGAGGCTAGAATACTTAAGCAGGGTCTTTTCTCTGTCTTTCAGCTTTTTGAAAACAGGAAGAATACTAAAAGCAGACACAGGAAAGTTACCATTTATAGCTTTACAGGAAGTCAGAGAAATCGCTGCAGCACATTCAGAGTGAAAAGAAATCAGACCATCTACTGGCAGGAAGGGCTCCTGGTCACTTTTGATGGGGGCTACCTCAGGTAGGAGCACTCGGGAACGCACCTGACAGGGTCACCATGGTGCCGTGGGAACAGCCCGCATGGCAGCCTTCTCCGGGAGCCCGTCCACTTGGTGTCCGGAGTTCTCCCAAGAGTGGCTTATCACAGCAGCCTGCTAGAAGTAGGAGACCCTCCCCTGCAAATGTCCAGAGCTCCCTCATTTCCTCACCCCGCCCCTCCTCTCCCCTGGCAGGACAGGAAAGATGAGGGAGGGTATGGTGACCACAGCCCAGGACTTGAGGGAAGTGGGCGGCCACTGAGCTCTGGGTGAAAGCCTCTGGCACCTCCGTGGTCACTTAGGTGACACCTGCAGGGGCCTTGCTGCCATCTGGCCCTGTCCCCTCATCCTCAGTGACGATGGCCCAGGTGACACCATGGATCCTCCACATGACCTAACAAGATCCATAACTTAGCTTCCTTTTCCTGGTTTCTTTCCTTTTTTGAGAAAGAGAAAGACAGCTCAAGAGGTTTAATAAGTGACGTCTAATCAGCTTTAATAAACACAAAAGATTATTTCATATTTACATTGAATTTTTCAAAATATTCTTCAGCTCCATGAGAAGAGAAGGAGAAGGAGAAAGAGAAAGGATCTTCTCTTGAGGGCCTGACTTGAGCCGTCTCAGTGCCTGGTACTTTCATATAGATGTACCCACTTAAAGCTCACAGCTGCCACCTGGCAAACGAGAATCTTGTAGTTCAGAGAAGGCAGGAACCTTCCCTGAGGTCACACCTGAGGGTCGATCCCTGCCTGAGCGTCCCTTTACTGCAAAGTCCCCGTGATCACAGGCATCACAGGCCTGGGAAGTGGTGGGACGACAAGGCAGGGTCACACACACAAGTACCCAAGCACAGGGGCCCCCCGCACCGTCCTGTCTGGGCACAGGGGCCTGGGGTAAGGGTGGGGGTGGGGTGGTCCCTGGGGCTTGGGTCTCAGCCTGGAGGCAAAGGAGATCATCCCAGGGCCCTCCAAGGCCGGATCACGGTGGGCTCTTCGTTTCTGGGTTGCAGTGTGGAATCCTCAGATGTGAACTGGAAGAAGAAAAAAAGCGGAGGAATAAAAATCATTTGCCAGTCAGAAGTGAGGGACTTCTCTGCCATGGCTTTTATCACAGACCATGTCAACTCCCTGATCGATCAGTGGTTTCCCGGTAAGAGAACGTTCTTGAACCAAGTCTTTGGTCATGTTAATACTTCTTCCCGAATCAGGGTGGGGCTTGTTATTTTGGGAGCAGAAATCTCACAGGGATTCAGCCCACGGAAACCAGAGAGGTCCTACTGGCCCTTTGGCAGAATCCCGATCCCTGGGGGTGTCCGGCTATGACCTGGGTTTGGGCACTACAGGGACGACGTGGGCCCAGACCCCACAGGACGTGTGCAGGCCTTAGCCTCGGGGCTGCCCACAGTGTGTGGGAAGACAGACAAGCCCTGGGTGCCCCGCGTGGTCCCGGAAGACCCGCAGTGTGAGCTTCTCACGGGTCTTGTTTACATAGTGTGGACAGGGCTGAAATCTGAGAGGACCCCATGGACGGGGTGGGAGGGCAAGGGAGCCACCCCTGTCAAGGACCCCCATTTTCCTTTCCTGCCCCCACCCCCAAATCCCAGAGGTGACCAGCCACCCACATGGCCCTTTGATCAGCTTCTTCATTGAGAGTCCACCCAATGAAAACACTTTTTGAAGTGAGGCTTTTGAGACCCTCTGTTTGTTTTGCTACCAGAGTGGAGACAAACCCGTGGGGTGTCCTGCAGGGTGGAGGCTGTGTGGGGCAGACCCAGGCAGCCTCTTCCCCCTGAGCCCTCAGCCTCTGAAGGCTGGCGGCTGAGAGAGCGGAGAATGGGTTTGGACTCCAAGACCTGCTTGGCCAGCGCCCTTGCCTCCCGGAGCTGGCATCTCTCCTGCTACATCACTGTGTCCCAGGACAGCATCAGAGGAGATGCTCAAGGAGCATGGCAGGCCGTGCTCCGGACGCATGGTCTGGACACCGGGGCCCGGGGGTCTTCTAGGACTGATGGGAAAGCTGACCTATAAGGAAAAATGCTTAGAAAGGGGCCAACAGGGACACTTGAATGGCTCAGTCAGTTAAGCATCCGACTCTTGGTTTCTGCTTAGGTCATGATCTCAGGGTCCTGGGATCGAGCCCTGTGTGTCGGGCTCTGTGCTCAGCAGAAAGTCTGCTTGGAATTCTCTCTCTCTCTCTCTCTCTCTCAGATATATAAATAAATCTTTTTTTAAAAAATGAAAGAAAGAAAGGGGCCCAAGAGAAGGCAGTTTGGTGTGTGACTTGTGGCAGTTTGGGTATGCTTGGTCATCCAAGGAAGCCTCTAGACCCATATGAGCCTCCCTGGGCTTTTGTGACGCCCCGCCAACCGGTGAGCCCCACAGTGGGTGCTGGGGAGATTTGACAGCTTGCAGGGGCGGGAGGGCATTCGATCATCACCTGAGACAGGGCTGCTCAGGATGGCAACTGGCAAGATGTGTGACACACGGGCCTGCAGATAGCAGATGCGCCCAGAAGGTTCCAGGAGACCCTCCCTACCCTGCACAAGGCAGGCCATCAGCTCACCCTGAGGTGCCTTGGAGGCTACTTCTTTGCACCTCCTTTCAGAGTGTGTGGAAAAGCTGTGTACCTCTTGCCCCGGGGAACACAGGTAAAATGACTAGGTTCTGTCTATCTTATAATTTGTACTCATTTCTCCCCCCTGCCTTGCTCTTCTAGGAGGGATCATAGTAATTGCAAGCCTTATGTTTCTAATTTCAAGAATAGCTCCTTATTGGTTGTGGTTCAGTTTCTGGAGCGTGGCATAGCTCAGACGCAGTCCGCAGCATCCTGCCAGGGCCCAGCTGTGCAGGAGGGATCCCCAACCTCTCAGCCCTCCTCAGCCAGCCCGCTGAGGGTCTAGACCACCCACTGGCTGTCCAGTGCATCCCTGACCTTTCCCGGTGCTGGGCTTTCAGGATCTTGCTCTCCAAAAAAAGAACCCAAGAATGCAGTCATGGTTCAGCCACTCCCTAGGATCCAGGCACTGTGAAAAGTGCCTCCTCCTATGAAAAGCCCACCCCGCCTGAGTACTGCTCAGGGACCCACCTATGGCCGCCTTCGTGTAAACTGTCTCCTGCTCTGTCCCCATTTAGCCCTGACAGCCACAGAGAGCGACGGGACCCCGCTCATGGAGCAGTATGTGCCCTGCCCGGTGTGCGAGACCTCTTGGGCCCAGCACACGGACCCGAATGAGAAAGCAGAGGGCGTGCAGTACTTCGACATGGAAGACTGTGTGCTCACAGCCATTGAGAAGGACTTCATCTTCTGCCCCAGACACGCCGACCTCCCCGTGCCTCTCCAGGAGCTGGTTCCCGAGCTGTTCATGACCGATTTCCCTGCCAGGTAGGCCACCGTGCCCCTCCCCTGATTCCTATTTTCCTGCCGGCTCAAGGCCGAGAAGGTGGATTCTCCTTGGCGTTCAAGAAGGGGGCACTCCCAGGCCTACAGCCTCATTTTCCTCTCATGGCAAATGCTGATTCCTACCTGCTGCCCTCGGGCTGGGCATTTGGATCCCCTACATCTGTTCTTGCAGTGAGTCGACCTCTAACCTCAAATAATGACTGGGGAGAGAATGCTGGAGAAATAGGGAATGCTTTGTGGTCCCACCCAACAAGAAATGGTCACAAAATCCGAGGGCTGGGGAAAAGATGGACGGTTCTATAGTCATGGAAACCGGAAGCTATGACTCAGTGTCCCCGGCGATAATTCGACATTGGCAGTTACCAACTGTTTTGGAGTTATGAAGTCCTGTTGTTGTCTTAGTCAAAGGATTGCGATCTCTGGCTTCTTTAAAGAAAAGTAAACTTTTGGGGGGGGGTAGTAAGAATATTTATATTCTCATTTTTCCAAATTGCCCCCCATCCCAAAGAATCCATGTGGAGTCCTCAGATATTGCAGGATTGGGGTCAGTCTATCAAATTAAGAAATTGCTTCCTACATTGAATGGTGTCCCCCCAGAGCCCTTTCTAATCGCCCCAGTTACCTCGCTGGTCAAAATGATAATTAAACACCGCTCTTCTGCAAAATGAGCTCCCTTTATTCCTAGAACTCTAACGTGAGGGCTATCGTTTCTCGGAGACCACGTGCCGAGTTGTGTAGATGCATGAATCAGATTTCTGGGGGAGGGGGGCCCAGTGAGGCAGCCCCAAATGTTAGGATTTTCATTTATTTGCCGAACCTTGTTGAGTTTTATGCCCCGACTAAAGCTGGGCTGTGGCGTCTCCTATATGAAATCGGGAAAGCCAGATTGGTTTGGATGGAATGGCAGGCTGTAGCATGGTTCTTCACTGAAGGTACTTGGCCGGTAGTTGAAAAGCCCGACAATGTGGACAGGATTCCCAGCCCAGCAGAAGGTCCCTGGAAACTTGAGCCTGGGGCCCAACTGGGGCCCTGAAGCGTCACGCTCCCCGCACTAGGAGTTTGGGCGGGTCAGGGTTGGGGGAGTTACCAAGTATCCAGGGAGCCCTGTCCTGTGGCCCTGAGTTTACAGGAGTCCTAACAGAATGGCCCGAGGGATCCGCAGCATTCCTGCTGCTCCCCGTGCCCATCCAGGGAGGCTCCCAAGGGCCCACACTGCCCAAGCAGGTGGTTTGAGGGAAGGGCACTTGGAGAAGAGCCCGGCTCCTCTGCGGCACCACCAAGGGCTCCAGGGGAGGTAGTTGCACCTGCCTGGAGTGCAAAGCATGACATTGAGCTGTGCAAAGGCTGAGCAGCTGCAGAATCTGTTCCTGGAAGGCATGGAAAATAACGGCCTGGTGGGGTCGGCCTATGGGGCCAGGATGGCTCCAGTGGAGGCACCTGGCATAGGCAGCTGGTGAGGGACCCAGAGAGACTTCAGCAGAGCAGGGGGAGGCCCTGAAGTGGGAGGGCCTCTGCACTGCCCCCTCCTTCCTCCCTGCCTCCCATCATCCCCTTCTCTCTCCCTCCCTCCCAGGAGTGACTTACGGTCTTTCCAAAAGCCCAAAAGAAATTAGAACCTAGGATTAGAAGACACAGACCAGGGAGGTCTAAACTCCCTGCCCTTGGGTGAAATCCTAGCCAGCGACTGTGCACACATGGCTCACGCCAATCAGAAGGCCTCCGCGGCCGCTTACATCATTCCTTACGTAATAAAAAATGAGGAAACAACCAACCTAGCAGTAAATAAATGTAGCTTGTCTGATGGATACTAGCTGTCAAAGCACAGAGTCTTTGGGAGGAAAACATCCAAAAGAATTTTCTATGTGGGCCACTTTGCCTGGCTTCCCCCGATGCTAGCCACCATGCACGCCTACGGGGCAGTTTCCATTATGAGCCCACTTTACGGAGGAGACCCAGGCTTGTTGAGGCTACATAACCTGCCTACAGCCATGGGTCATCCTGGATCTGTCTGACCCCACGGGTGGCTTTGAACTATGACTCCCTGCAGTGGAAGAAATGACCAAGGGTGTCCTCACATCCACCCACCGCCAGCCTCTCCGGAGAGCGGTAAGGGACCGGTTAGGGAGGTCTGACCCACGTGCTGTGTTTCTGGCAGGCTCTTCCTGGAAAACAGCAAGCTGGAGCACAGTGAGGACGAGAGCAGCGTCCTGGGCCAGGGCGGAAGTGGCACCATCATCTACCGGGCCCGGTACCAGGGCCAGCCCGTGGCGGTGAAACGGTTCCAGATCAAGAAATTCAAGAACTTGGCCAACGCCCCAGCGGGTAAGCAGGGCCCAATGTTGTTTCTTTTCAGACACGTGCTTCCACGGAAGACTTGGGGAGACTGGAAGAGGAGAGGAGGGGGGACGAGGCTAGCGGAGGCCGACCTGCCTTGTTCCTGGCAGGATGCGGGATAGGCCTAAAGGTCAGGCTGAGCAAAGCTTGGAAGTTGTTTTGGGAGATTATTTTCTTGTCTCGATGTGAGCCCCCAAGAGCACAGGCTATCCCTACAATTTCCAACTGCTCCGTGGCCGGCACAGGCCTGGCACATGGTGGGTACACACTCAGACGTCAGGTGGGCCCCTTACGCTGCAGGACCTCTCTCAGCCGTCGCCACTGAAGGAAGGAAGGTGGCAGTCCAGGGGAACGCATGGGGAAGCCAGCATGTGCCCTCCTTCTGTGCCGCCCACACGAAGGAAGAAGGAGACACCCTCTTGCCTTGGTACATCCAGAGCACACCGTGAATAGCTCAGAGATGCTCTCTACCTAGGGCCACCCATCACCGCTCCACACCCAGCCAGTGCCGGGTGCTGGGCAGCCCCCTCACTCCCAGCCGGCTGAATATCACACTTCTCACTACCCCCTGGCTTAGCATGTTCATCCTTATGACCATTAAGGTCGTTTACACTCTTGGTAGAGAAATCAGAATCCTAGAGCAAGGTAAAGAAAACAGATCAGAAAGGAAGAGACAAATTGTTACTATACGAAGAGAATGACTTCCTGCCTAGAAAAATCCGAGAGAATCTACTGACAAATATGAGAGCCAGTAAAAGTTTCACAGAGTCGCCAGACGTGAGCTCAACCTCAGAATTCAGCAGCGTTCTCACGTACAGCAATGACCCATCACTAGAATGCAGCAATTAAACCGTAAAGCATGGAGGGATAGTGAATATATCCCGTTCAGTTGAGTTCTCATTTAAATCCGAGGATGTGCATGCTTGTGTGTGTATGTGTGTGTGTATGAGAGAGAGAGAGAGAGAGAGATCTCACTCACTGATTCTAAATACATAGAAAATGACAACATCCCAGGAACAGCTGGGACAGTCCTACAGAGGGAGGCAAAGCAAAGAGGCCTGCCCAGCAGATGTCATGACTTACAACCCTGCAGACATGAAGGCAGTGTGCTCCGGGGCTCGGCCAGGCCCGCCGAGGGTGTGGACACAGCCGTGCGTGTGTATGGGAAGCTGGTACATAGTGGGGCTGACATCGTGACTTAGAGCGGAGAGATGGACCGGTCGCTAATTGAGGCAGACCCTTGGGTCAGACTTTACGCCGTAGTCAAAAAATAAATGCATAATGGGTTGAAGAGCCAATGTGAACAACAAGTTTTATACTAAGAAAACAAATTTGGCTGGCCTACACACAGATCTGGCACAACTGATGCATTTTAACTGCCAAGCGTTTTTTTTCATGCTGTTTAAACCTCCGTGTCCACAAATCCCTGATTTTAAGATCTGAACGTAGGGGAGGAATAGATTGGGATGCGAGAGCTCAAGCAGGGCCTGGTGGACCCCGCTTGGTGACCTCAGGGCCAGCCACAGACCGGTGGGTGGTGTCCTGCCCCCCCCCCCCACTTGGCAAGAGAGGCCCTTTGCGGGGCGGGGCAGGGCGGGGCGGGAGGGAGCCTTGGGCCTCCACCTTCCAGGGCTTACAGCACAGCCTGGAAGTTGCCCCCTCCTGCCAATAGACCTTGCTCCTCTGGCCTGAGATGATGTGTCACAGGCCCATGGTGGCCCCAGGTTTCTCTCTGGCTGAGGAGAGAGTGCTGGTTCTTTCTTGTCTTCGGTGGTCCAGGCTACTGGCGGGAAGTCGGGTGAGCACGCCCTCAGCATCCCTGTGGCAGCCGGGGCCTGGTCACCTTCCAGTCCTGCCGCTTGAGCCAGGCTCTGGGTGACACTCAGGGATGCAGAACTGGAATAGGCTTAAATGCTGCCCCCCCAGCCCCTCGAGTCCCCATGGGGCAGCTCTGCGTGTGGCAGGATCCCCATCCGAGTGGCCCTAGAGGGGGTCCCTGGGCAGCACTGATGGCCACGCTCTCCCCTGCAGACACCATGCTGAGGCACCTGCGGGCCACGGACGCCATGAAGAACTTCTCGGAGTTTCGGCAGGAGGCCAGCATGCTGCACGCCCTGCAGCACCCCTGCATCGTGTCACTCATAGGCATCAGCATCCACCCTCTCTGCTTCGCCCTGGAGCTCGCCCCACTGGGCAGCCTCAACACCGTGCTGTCTGAGAATGCCAAAGGTACCAGTCGTGCCGAGAACATTCCAAAGGGATTGCCTGGGGCCCGGCCCGGCCAGATACAGCCCCTGGGAAGCCAGAGAGCCCATGGCCGGCAGCAGAGGCCCCAGGGAAGCTGGATCCCCGGGGGTTCCCTCCTCCTGCCTGGCCTGCCTGTCTGCGCCAGAGCACACCTGCCCCACGGCTCCCATGGCCAACTCCCTGTGGGCAAAGAAAGGCACTTCACCAGGTCTACACCCTGAATGGTGGTGTTGGCAAGGCTGGAGGAGCTGATGGCTTAGAGTCAGATGGAACCACGTTCCAGGTCCTGGTTCTCTGCCATAGTCCCGTAAATTAGTGCCTCGTTTACTGGCCTGTAAAAGGAGGATGATAATAGTCCCACTGAGGGGGGCAGTTGAGGGTCTCAAATGAGGCAGCCCAGGGGGCCTGAGCAGTAGCCTGGTGCCCACAAGCCCACCAGGCGCGTAAAGCTCTCCTTTCCCCGGAACGCACAACGGGTGTGCGCCATCATTCAAACTCTGAGACCCTGGGGTCAGTTTTATCTTACTTTTTAATGAAATTTTAAAATAATTTTCCTCAGGAAATCATTAGGGAACTAACTTCCAGAGAGCTGACAGAAGGAGAGAGGTAGCAGTGTCTTGACTCGGGCAGAAGAAACGCATTAAGCTCAAATCGTTTCTCCTTCAATGGAAGAGAACCCTTTTTTTTTTTTTTTTTTTTTTTTTTTAATGAAGCTCTTATCCCCGCAACCCACCCCTTGACAGTAGAGCAGTCTTGGCCTGCGATGAATTTTGAATCCTCGCCCTTTTCGTAAAAACACCAACAATTCCAGGCCTGAAATACCATGAATGAAGCTATAACGCTAAGCATCTCTCTCCTAAATACGGTTTTATTTCAGAAGGTCATTCTCTGTCTCCACTGGCATCCAGCATGGGGAATGATGAGAAGTGTCCGTAGACCATAAAGTATCTGGGGAGAGAGACGGTGAGAAAAGACTGCTGGTGTAATGGTAGTTTGGTATTTTTTTTTTCTTTGCAAAGATTCTTCCTTTATGCCCCTGGGACACATGCTCACCCAAAAAATAGCCTACCAGATCGCCTCCGGCCTGGCCTACCTGCACAAGAAAAACATCATCTTCTGTGACCTGAAGTCGGACAACATTCTGGTCTGGTCTCTTGACGTCAAGGAGCACGTCAACATCAAGCTGTCGGACTACGGGATTTCACGGCAGTCATTTCATGAGGGTGCCCTCGGCGTGGAGGGCACCCCCGGCTACCAGGCCCCGGAGATCAGGCCTCGCATCGTATATGACGAGAAGGTACCCACAGCCCGGCCCACTGCCAGCCCAGGGGCACCTGCAGCTTCTGAGCTCTGTTTCCCCAGGCACTCTCTTCTCCCTCTTCTGTGCTCGACCAGGGGGCTCTGGCTTGAACCAGAAAGGCACAGGGGTCTGTGCCCACCTAGGAATGTCAAGGTTAACTTCTCCTTAGCTTCAGGAACAGTGAAGTCTCTAGCCTTGATTCAGAGACATAGTCAAGGTGCTACACAGTGGACAGTAAGTCCAGGACAGAAATGGGTCTACATTTGGCTCCCAGCTCTGCCATTTAGACATCTAAAATGGGGACAGTGGACCAGCCTCGTGGGGGCTCATGTGGAGCAGTCAGAATAAGGGTGGCAAAGGCTCCTGGCCCGTAGGTACTGTCCACAGCGGCGGAGGTGGCCGAGATAGCATGGCCAAAGTTGGGAGAAGAGAGTGAATTCTGACAGGACAAGCGTGGACTCCCCGAGCAGCTGCGTGGCCAGCCTCGGCCAAGATGTTAGCTGAATGTTTACCTTCTTCCCTGAAAGCTGCTTAGTAGATACAGGCACGCAGACAAGTTGGACCCAGCTTCCAGCTAGTGCTAGCCCTGGTTCATCAGTCACCCAGCCCTGAAACTCCCTTGGTCTATAATTTTTCATTATTTGGTGGTTTGCCGATGAGTCATTGCCTACTTGCTTTAAGAATGACCTGAGCAGCCTAGAGTCCCCATGCTGTACGTTACATCCCCATGATATTTTATAGCTGGAAGTTTGTACCTTTTGACCACCTTCAAATAAAAAAGGGAAAGGCATGACCTTAGTGGGGGCACCTGGGTGGCTCAGTCGGTTAACCGTCCGACTCTTGTTTTCGGCTCAGGTCATGATCTCAGGGTCACGAGATTGAGCTCCACTGAGCTTGGGATTCTCTTTCTCCCTCTCCCGCTGCCCCTACTCCATCCCTCTAAGAAAAAGAATGACCTTAGCGTGTGGGGGTTAACTCGTCACCTGTGGCTATTAACCAAAATAGAAAAGGCAAATCAGAGTGATAAAAATAAGAGCTTCTTAAGTAGCAGGTGACACAGACCAGGCACCTCGAAACTAAGATTATAACAGGAAGCTTCACATCGAAAACTCTCAGGTCTATGTCAGCCATTCTCCTGCTAAAACGTTACCTCTCGGCCCTCATGGAGGCCGAAACTAACTTCTCCTTTTTGGGCCTTTTGATGACATTACAATTAGAGGAGTCAGCATGTTGTGATTTAGGAGACATTCCCTCTTTATGATTTGCGTACACTGCCCTTCCAGTGCCAAGCACATTTAGCTGAGGGTCCGTGTTCTCCTGCGTTTTCTTGAGTCTCAAGGATAAGGAGCATGGCATCCTTGGAGACCTTAACCAGTACCTGACGGCTAGCAAGGTCTCAGTGTGTGTTTATTGCATGGATGGGTGGCTGGATGGAAGGAAGGAAGGAAGGAAGTATGGCAGGATGGATAGGTATATGGACAGAAGAACAGATCATCGGATGGATGGATGAATGCATAGACGGGAGTATAGATGGATAAATATGCAAAAGGATAGGCAATTGGGTGCATGGATGGATAGATGGATGATAGATGAAGAAAAGTAGGGGGGGAGGGGGAAGGGAGGGAGGAGGGAAGGACTGGAAGGTGGAAGGCTAAAGGGGCAGAATAATGGATGGTCAGGTGGTTGGCTGGATGTTTGGACAGGTGGGGAGTGATGGATGCATTGATGGATGGATTGATGACCGTCTCCCTTTGGGCAGGATCCCTGGTCCGATTGTGTCTTCTGCTCCCTCCGTCACAAGGCCAACTTATGAAAGCTGCTGGGCCAGGCAGGGGACCTGACTTGGCTTGCCTCTTTGCCCAGGTAGACATGTTCTCCTATGGAATGGTGCTCTATGAGTTGCTGTCGGGACAACGGCCAGCACTGGGCCACCACCAGCTTCAGATTGCCAAGAAGTTGTCCAAGGGCATCCGCCCTGTCCTGGGGCAGCCAGAGGAGGTGCAGTTCCATCGGCTCCAGGCCCTCATGATAGAGTGCTGGGACACGAGGCCTGAGAAGGTACCCGAGGGCCCGGGGCCTGGGGGCCTGGCACCGCCCGCCCCTGTGCTGGAGGCTCTGGATCTCCAGCGTACACGTGTATGTCTACTTGCCCATCCTTCGCTAAGGGTCTAGAACCAAGGGGGCAACCCTTCTCTGCTCACCTCTTCCAGAAAGAGATAAGTACTGCTCCTCGTACATCCAGCTTATTTTCTTTGCGTGCATGTCACTCTCGGGGAAAAATGAGCTCTTCTTTCTTCCCCAGCCTCTGTGTCACACCATCAGACAAGCAGAGCCTCCCAACCCCTTTATAGCAGTAGAGTCCCCACGCAAGAGCAGAGAGAACGGATGCATCTCTTTCTAGAGTAACGGGGAGCAGGTTTGCTCATGAGAGCAGGAATCATGATATCATTTTAAAGCTTAGCTTTTGGGGGGGAAGAGGCCAGTGGTTTCAAGGTTAAAAGGCATTTATCAAATTGGTGCGGATTTAATGAATTGGGAGTAAAATAAGGTCTGAGAAAAATTCCCCGCAAGGTTGTATGTCCGTGGGCCACGGGGGTGGGAACATCAGAGTTTAAGCTAACCTGACCGCCTAAGTTCAGGTTGCTAAGGAGAGTGATGACCCAGGCTGCCAGACACTCTGGCCCCTGAAATTGTCTTGGCCTCTTGTTTTGAGCAGTTTCTAGTCCTTCCTCCCTTGTTCAAGACCATTGGTTTCACGGGCAGGATAGGCATCCATCTGGTCATAAGTGACTCTTGCTCACGGCTCCAGTGGCCTCTCTCCCTCAGCGACCGCTGGCCCTGTCGGTGGTGAGCCAGATGAAGGACCCGACCTTTGCAACGTTCATGTACCAGCTACCCTGCGGGAAGCAGACCACCTTCTTCTCCTCCCAAGGCCAGGAGTACATGGTGGTGTTCTGGGACGGGAAAGAGGAGTCCAGGTAATGTCCCGAGGTTGGCTGTGCCCTGCTAGTAGTGGCGGGGGCGGGGGGGGACTGTGGAATTGGGGAGCAGGCAAGGATGACCATGGTGAGAAATGTCTCGTGGACAGTGGGTTAAAAGCCTGATGGAGTTCGCTCCAGAGAGAAAACTTGAGTCCACGCAAATAGACAGGCATGTAGGCGTTTGTGGTTAAGAGAAGCAAAGAGTAGGTGGGGTCTGCCAGGGTGCGTGGGGTCAACAGAGGGCTTTGCTTTTTGTACTTGTTTTTTTCCTTCTTCATTCCCATCCCCTAGTTTACCCATCCCCTGCCCCCGGCCCCTCTCCCCTCTGGCAACCACCAGTTTGTTCTCTGTGTTTATGAGTCTGTTTCTGTTTTATTTTTTCTTTTGTTTTTTAGATTCCACATGTAATTGAAATCATATGGTGTTTGTCTTTCTCTGACTTATTTCACTTAGCATAACACCTCCACGTCCATCCATGTTGTTGCAAAGACCAAGATGTCATTCTTTTTTATGGCTGAGTAATATTCTACGTGTGTGTGTGTGTGTGTGTGTGTGTGTGTGTGTGTGTGTGTACCACATCTTTATCCATATGGATGGACACTTAGGTTGCTTCCATATTTGGCCACTGTAAATAAAGTTGCAATAAGCATAGGGATGCATATATCCTTTTTTTTTATTTGAGAGAGAGAGAGCACCCACGAACGGGGGGTGGGGGGCAGAGGAAGAGGCAGAGGGAGAAGCAGACTCCCGGCTGAGCAAGGAGCCCGATGCTGGGTTCGATCCCAGGACCCCAGGATCATGACCTGAGCCAAAGGCACATGCTTAACTGACTGAGCCACCCATGCCCTGAGATGCATATATCTTTTCAAATTAGTGTTTCCATTTTCTTCAGGTAAATACCCAAAAGTGGAATTACTGGATCATATGCTATTTCTATTTTTAATATTTTGAAGAACCTCCGTACTGATTTCCAGAGTGGCCACGCCAGTTTGTACTCCCACCAGCAGTGCACGAGGGTCCCCTTTTCTCCACAGCCTCTCCAACACTTGTTGGTTCTTGTCTTGTTGATACTAGACCTTCTGATAGGGGTGAGGCGAGATCTCATCGTGGGTCTGATTTGCATTCCCCTGATGATCAGTGATGTTGAGCATCTTTTCAAGTGTCTGTTGGCCATCTGGATGTCTTCTTTGAAAAAAAGTCTTTTGAAGTCCTCTGCTCACTTTTTAATCCGATTGTTTGTTTTCTTGGTGCTGAGTTGTATAAGCTCTTTATATATTTTGGGTATTAACCCCTTATCAGATTTATCATTTGCAAATATCTCCCATTCAGTAGGCCACCTTTCCGTTTTGCTGATGGTTTCCTTCGCTGTGCAAAAGCTTTTTAGTTTGATGTAGTCCCAGTAGTTTAATTCTGCTTTTGTTGCCCTTGCCTCAGGAGACAGATCCAAAAAATATTGCTAAGCTTGATGCCCAAGAGTTTACTGCCTCTGTTTTCTTTGAGAAGTTTTACGGTTTCGGGTCTCGCCTTTAGGTCTTTGAGTTTATTTTGTATATGGTGTAAGAAAGTGGTCCAGTTTCATTCTTTTGCATGTGGCGGTCAAGTTTTCCCAATACGATTGATTGAAGAAACTGTCTTTCCGCTCATTGTGTATTCTTGCTTCCTTTGTCACAGATGAATTGACCACATAAGTATGGGGTTATTTCTGGGCTCTCTATTCTGGTTCTGTTGATCTCTGTGTCTGTTTTTGTGCCCATCCCCTCCTGTTTTGATTACTGTGGCCTTGTGTATAGTTCAAAATCGGACTGTGATACTTCTAGCTTTAGTCTTCTGTCTCAAGATTTCTTTGGCTTTTTGCAGTCTTTTGTGGCTCCATACGAATTTTAAGATTATTTGTTCTAGTTCTATGAAAAATGCTGATGCTCTTTTGATAGGGATTGTATTGAATCTGTAGATTGCTTTGGGTAGTGTGGACATTTGAACAATATTGGTTCAACCAGTCCATATACACGTGTCCATTTATTTGTGTCCTTTTCAATTTGCTTTATCAATGTCTTAAGTTTTCAGAGTAGAGGCCTTTCACCTCCTGGATTAATTGTATTCCTAGGTATTTTATTCTTTTTGGTGCAACTGTAAATGCAATTGTTTTCTTAATTTTTCTTTCTGCTAGTGTGTAGAAACACGACAGGTTTCTATATATGAATTTTGTACCTTGCAACTTTACCGAAGTCATTTCTTAGTTGTAATAATTCTCCCATCCTGGGAGGACTCTGTTTTAAGATGGGTGCTATTTGCAGCTTGATGGCGGAAGAAGTAAATGATGCCAGGGGTCGGGGAGAAAGGACGGTGACTGGGGTGGAGTTGCTGAGTAGTGAGAGGGGCAGGAGACCCAGGGCCAAGCAGGATGGGGGCCCTCACATGAGAATCTGTGGGCCTTCCCTTCTAGTCACGTCTTTTTCTCAGGGAAGTGGTAGGAAGGACGAAAGCATGGGGACAGGTTTTGAATATTCGAGAAGGTGACGTGTGATATGAGCACTAGCGCATGAGACCAGGGTGGTTGCAGGACAGCACTGAGGCCCGCTGGAGGTTGGCGGTCAGGTGTTGGAAATGAGGCTCATCCACAGGGTTATGTGCCCCCAGCACGGTTTGCTGCCCGCAGATTGCAAGATAGGCAACAGTTGGTTTTAAGCAGAGTTGGGTTTTTGGCAGGAGGGAGAGAAGGGTATGGGCGGTGGAGGTATTTTCAAGAGGGTCATGGTAGCGATGGATCATGGAACCTAAGTGGGACCATAAAATGGATAAGGAACAATGGAAAGTACCAGAGAATCCTAGATCTTAGCAGAGTGTAAACAAAACCAAAAACGCTGTGATGAGTTATGGTAGTAGGTGGAATGTTCTGGAAAACTCAGAGGTAGAGGTCAGAAAATAGATCCTTGACTCTGAGTAGGTGGGAGGGGTGCAGATATTAGTAAAGCCAGGATCCGATGTGCAACTTAGGGAGAGGGTGACTGGAGTAAAGTGGGAATAAGATCACTGGGAAACGAACAGGAAGTCACAGGACCAAGATGCCAGGGTATTGGAAAGATAGACTTTACAATCTCCAAAAACCCACCGTCTGGTGTGAGAGCCTTCAGTCCTGGTCAGCGTATGAGGTCTCTCCCCTAGTGGGACATTTTCAGAGTCACGAGAGCATTTCATGGCCTGAATAGTCTTCTAAGCTTCGTGGCAAACATTTGCAGGCGCTACAATCGAATAAGGCTTAGATAAAGTGAAGCTTGAGACACGATAAGATAAGTGGAAGGAACTTTGCCATTTTCCCAAGGTCAGTCCAGGTGATGTTTGCACCATGTTCTATGCCACAGGGACTGAGTGTTCTGACATAAGACATGGTCTAAGGAACCATGCCCTAAAGAAATATGTATATTTGTGTGTGTGTATATTTATTTATTGTTACTAATATTTATATATGTAAATATATATGTTTTCAGTAATTACGTTGCCGGGTATTGCACATTGTGATATTTGGCATGCAAAGTATGAAAGATAGGTTAAATTAAAAAAAAACCTATACTTCTGAATTTAAATTTTTGGACTCATGATAGATTTTATCTTTAAGAAAAATAAACTCATGTTTCCTAGTCCTCCCTGTTGAAAAGGCCTAACAATAATGACCACCTACAAGTGATGACCCCCCGGGACCCAGGTGGTGGTCTCTAAGTGCCAGAGGGAACCAGGGCTTATTTGAGAAGTGGCTGACTCCAGGTCTGGGACAGGAAGATGGCCAGAATATCTGACACACCAGAATCAAGGATGCCATCAGATACTCGTGAGGGTAGATTAAAGGGTTTTAGGAGTCAACCCAGAGAGGTTCCTACTGGCCAAGGATAGGGCAGTCGGCCATTACTAATGTAAGAAGAATTGCAGTGGGTTGAGACACATCAAATTTTTTAAACTCATGCATTTCTAATGCTACTTAATAAAAACAAACAAACTGGGGCCCCTGGGTGGCTCAGTTAAGTGTCCAACCCTTGATTTTGGCTCCGGTCATGATCTCGGGGTCTTGAGATCAAGCCCTGCGTCGGGTTCCACGTTCAGCGGGGAGTCTGCCTGAGACTCTCTCTCTCTCCATCTCCCTCTGCGCCTTCCCCTGCTCATGCTCTCTAAATAAATAAATAAATAAAATCTTAAAAATAAAAACCCCTCACTGATCACCATTGAAGGCTCCTAGAGAACCAACCCATTATTTTTGAAAAACTAGTATATACAGAAAGAATCAAGGTTTTATTCTGCCATTCCTATGTGAACTCTACCCCAAGGTAGCAAAAGAGAGAAAAGGAAGAAGTTTCTCTTTTTAGAATAAATGAAGCTAATACATGAAGAAGGAATGCCAGAAATAGAATGTCAGCCTTTTGCAATCTCTATTGAAATCGTGGATATAAGACAGTGATCATTCATGATCACAAAAGGAGTGAGAATGGAACATTCCCGATAGAAATCCACACCCCCAATCCCCCAATGAGGAAATGTTCTTGCCTTAAAAAAAAAAAAAAAAAAAACAGAATCTGATCAAGACTCGAGATTGGGGGCAGGGGGACGGGGCAAATGGCACCCCAGGTATGTGGGGACTGCACAGGACACCCCCAGAATCCTCAGCACATAACCTACCAGAGAAAAAAGAGAAAGGGGAGGGGGAAGCCAGTCAAGAGACTGAGAGACATAAAGACCCGTGGAAGTGTGGGCAAAAGATGTGTGTGACCTGGGTAAATAACTTCAGTCTCCGCCTCAGACAGTGAGGACACTGGATGCCCATGGGGGACAAGGGGGGAGACAGAAGTGCTAGGGGAAGGCCAGTTCCAGGGAGCAAACAGCAGCCCTCATAAGTGACAGCTTATTAGTTCTCAGAGCACTTGTGTTGGGGGAATGTGTTTCGAGGACCCCCAGCCTATTCTAAAATGCACCCATCTATCTTTAGCCTTGGCCTTGTCTACTCTGATATTGGGGGGCTCCCCTGTCCCTGGGGTGAGGCACGTATGGCCAGTGGGAGGGGTGAGTGGCTTTGGTGGAGGTGCGGCCACCTGTGCCCCTTCTTCACACCGGGGGGCAACTTCTTGGACCTTCCAACGTCACAGACAGAAGAGAGCCTTTCTTCCCATTGGGAATGCCCTCTCGTTGCCCGAACATTCAAGCAAGGGAGGCAGAATCCACCCGTGCCCAGTGCCGTAAACGGTCCTCAATTCTCTCAGAACGTGGCCAAATTCAACCCTGGGCTCAAGGGGGTGGCCGAGGCAGCTGATGTCCTCCTCCAAGGCTGCTCAGGCCAAGCCAAGAGAAGGGAGGTGGCCCTTGGCCACCGTGCGCTGACCACACGATTGTCGCTGACTCTAGGAACTACACCGTGGTGAACACGGAGAAGGGCCTTATGGAAGTGCAGCGGATGAGCTGTGCAGGAATGAAGCTAAGCTGCCAGCTCAAGGTCCAGAACTGTCTGTGGACAGCCACCGAGGTAACTGCCTCCATTCGGGGCTCTCATTGAGGTGGGCAACACAGGGCACGGTCCATGGGGGCGCCAGATTTAGCAAATAGGAATACACGATGCCCAGATACATGTGATTACCAGATAACCCCAGCCCGCACGTGTGAGACCCCCCAGAGCAGTGCCAGTAGCCCTGTGAAGCAGCAGAAGCATGTCCCCAGGGGCAACAACCTGCCAGTCCTGGCGGGTGACCGGGACTCAGTCAAGAGAAGTCTCAGGTGCAGGATCCCAGCAGAAGGAGCACCCCATTAGGTTGGTGAAGCCACTGGGTTTCTCATAACGCTGCCGGGTCTACCCAGCGAATCCACTCGGCTCTGAAGGCATTTTGCCTTCACGTCAAGGAAGTCAGCAGAACGCCCAAGGAGCTGTCTTCTGAGAAATCCAGAGAGGCTGCCCCAATGGATGCTCTGAAGCTACAGAGCTGCGGGGGGTGGGGCAGAGGGCAGGAGATGGTGCCGCCAGCCCAGACACACAGCAGAAGGCAGACAGACGTGTCTGTAAGAATGCTCATCCCCATGAAACCCCCAGTAGTGAAAACTTGGAAACAGACTGAGCTCAGACAGCAGATTAGGTTGTGGGCACCCCTGGGTGATGGGCAGCATGGAGGCGCTCAAACACAGTTCCCTCACGGGCTCACACACGGTTCCCTCCACCCGCCGTGCATCATTACGAGAAAAGTGAGGAAACAGCACAGTCAGGTGGTCCCACTTTTGCCAGGAACGCAGAGACACACACACAAACACCCTGGGGAAGCGAAGTCTGGGCCCCAAATCCCCAGGTGAAAATTACCCTCTAAGTAATGGGGTAGGGGCAATTTTATGTTTCTTCTTTAAATTCTTCTGTCATTTTCAACATCTCTACAAAGCATAGGAATATGCAAACGACGAACCAGAAAGCCCAAACGCATGTTGGTTCCTAAGGCACTAAGTGATTCCCAAGGCAGAAGGGACCCTGGGAGAAAATGGCAGGCATGTTCCAACCTGGGTCTCATGTTGGCTCATCTGCCTCTGCAGGACCAGAAGATCTACATCTATAACCTCAAGGGCATGTGCCCCTTAAACACACCCCAACGGGCTTTGGACACCCCAGCGGTCGTCACCTGCTTGTTGGCAGTGCCTGTTATTAAAAAGGTGAGGTTGGGGGGAGGTGGGTGCCCGGATGTCTGACTCCCTTCCTCTTCCATTGGGGTGGCCCCCGACCCTTGGCTTGGGGGAGGGAAGGGGTACGAGGAATGGGAGCAAAGCCAGGCCTTCTTGGACCGCCAAGCCCGGGTCAGGTCACAGTCAGCCTTAGAGGGACAGGTCATCATTAGAGCCTTTTCAGGAACCTTTTTTTAGAAAAAAAAAAAAAAGTCTGAAATCAACCCTAGAGTCGTTTAAGACCATGCCCCATGGGCGAGGCTGGGCGGCTCGGGACACAGTCCACCCCAGAGCCCAGGAGAACATGACACAAAGCGTTATTTAAGGCTACTGCTGGCCAGAGCCCCTGAGCCAGGCCACCACCACCCGCACGACCAGAGGAAATAAAGCCGGCTCTGTGCGGAGCCTCCCTGTCAGGGTGCTGCCCCGTGGCCGCGACAGCAGGCCCCTGCATTCTTGCACGCGCACGTTCACACCCAGCTGGGCTGTGGGGCTCACCGCCCTGACTGGGGCCCAGAGCCAGGGTTCAGATAGAGATGCTGCCTCTGTTTGCTTTGGTTGCTTTCTTTCCTAAAATTCTGAGGATGGATTTTGATCAATGTTCTTAGGACTTCTTGACCTTGCTGTTGAGCTAGAAGCTGGTTCACTCGTGACCTTGGACAGCCTGGCCTCCCCAGTTCCCAAGCAGCTCCAGGTCCCAGAAAGGGGGCTTTCTGCCGCTCACCCTCGCTGGCACGAAGCCTGGGTCCTCGCTCTGGCGGGGCTTCGGCTTTGTTCTCCTGAACTCCTCCCGCCCCACCTCAGCCCTCGCCAGGCATCCGAGCTTCGAAGCTGCCCTCTTTTCCTGGCTCTGCAGAGATGCTCCAGGGAGCATCATGTGGGTGGTGGTGTCTGGCCAGCAGTGGCCTTAAATAACGCTTGGTGTCATGTTCTCCCGGGCCTGGGGTGGGCCCAGCATCCAGCACTGTCCCTGCAACTTTGGCTATAAAAGATGGCATACTTCACTGCAGGGGCGGAGGGCGACCCCAGGACCCTTGCACTGCCAGCTAGGCATTTCAGAATAAGTGTGGTAAGCAAGGAGTGTAGGCACAGGGTCTAAGAAGTGCCTCTATGAGAGGGTTAAGCTGGAAGTGATTTTTTTCAAGCATAGGCTCAGCAGGCACGCATCATCTGCTGGTGCAGAATGCCGGGTGGAGTCGCAGAGATGGACAAGACTCAGCCCTTCCTTGCGGCAGGCCCACACTCTGCTGTCACAGAGCCCCCGTCTGGTGGGGGCGGCAGACAGCAGGTGGCAAGCACACCCACACGCCCACAACTGCTGTCACATTGTTAACAAGCAGAGCTCCCGGGAAGGAGGGAACCACGTCCTGTCTCTGAAGGAGGCCGGTGTGACCCGAGGGAGAAGGCAGCCCCCTCCCGCTCACACTGCAAGAAGCCAGCCTGAGCAGGGCCCCTCCCCTAGGTGCTGAGGGCCACATGCTTCCCCGGCACGCTGCTCTCCTGCTCACAGCAGGAAGGGTGGGTGGGTGGCTCTTCTGGGCCTGAGTTGCACCTGCTTTGGGTCCTGCTGGCGGCCCCTGCCTCTCTGGGAGCATTGCTCCTCTGGGTGAGCTGGGGTCGGTGCGGAGACGAGTCTTGTGCCCACTCTGCTTCTCTCTCCTGGCCTGCGTGAGCGTCACAGGCCGTCCTGTCTTTCTCCTCACAGAATTCCTACCTGGTGCTGGCAGGCCTGGATGATGGGCTTGTGGCAGTGTTTCCCGTGGTGCGGGGTGCCCCGGACAACAGTTGCTCCTACCTGTGTTCGCACACGGCCAACAGGTCCAAGTTCAACATCCCAGATGAAGACACGCGGCAGAACCCATACCCCGTGAAGGCCATGGAGGTGGTCAACAGCGGGTCCGAGGTCTGGTACAGCAATGGGCCGGGCCTGCTGGTCATCGACTGTGCAGCCCTGGAGATCAGCAGGAGGCTGGAACCGTACTCGGCCCCTTCGGTGGTCACCTCGGTCGTGGGCAGCTCTGAGTGCCGCGGGGAGGAGGTCGTCTGGTGCCTGGACGACAGGGCCAACTCCTTGGTGATGTACCATGCAGCCGCCTACCAGCTGTGCGCCCGGTACTTCTGTGGGGACCCCAGCCCGCTCAGAGACATGTTTCCTGTGCGCCCACTGGGCCCGGAGCCCCTGGGCAGCCACCCAGCCGGATCTGAAGAGCCCGAGGGGGACTCCATCGCGGACGTGAGCATCATGTACAGTGAGGAGCTGGGCACGCAGATCCTGACCCACCAGGACTCGCTGACCGACTACTGTTCCGTGTCGTCCTACCCCTCCTCCTCTCCCTGCCGGGCTCCCACAGCCTCCCCCAGCCTGCCCTCCTCCCCGGCAAGCTCTTCCAGCGTGCCCTTCTCCGCCAACTGCGAGGACTCCGACCGGCTGCACGAGCCCGCCGCTGGCTCCGACAGGTCTGAGCACGACCTGACCCCAGTGGACGGGGAGGCCTTCAGCCAGCACCTGCAGGCCGTGAGGATCCTAGCCGTGAAGGATGTCATCTGGGTCCCCAGGTACGGTTCCCGTGAGTGGGGCTTGCTCCCGTGCAGGAGCCCGGAGGGATCGCTTAGGCAAACCCGAGAAGGGCCAGGCGCTCATCTGCTCCCCACCCCACCCCCCGGGAACCACAAGGTGGAGTCCTCCCCCATCCCTGGGCAGCTGCGATTCAGTTTCCCCGCTGGGGAAGGCCTTGGGAGTGGGGGAGGCCGGCTTCGGAGGCCTCCCAGTAACTCCATCCTCTCTTGCCGAGTCGGCGGGCTGGTTGCCTTGCGTCTGTGCCCAGCAGCTCCATGTGCCCCGCGGAGCAGGGCCCTGGACAAACGCTTCCCCTTCTCGGTTTTGGTTTCGCAGGCGCGGCGGCGACGTTATTGTCATCGGCCTGGAGAAGGAGGCCGGCAGCCAGCGGGGCCGTGTCATCGCCGTCTTAAAAGCCCGGGAGCTGACTACACGTGGGTAAGCCTGGGGGCGCCTTCTTTAGGCCCCCAGCTGTGGTGTGGGGAATGGAGGCCCCTCCGCCAGGCACCACCCGCCCCCCCCGGCCCCCAGCACAGTGGCGTCTCGTGCTTCTGTCTTCCACAGATAAATGCCACAGTGGCCATAAGGCAGAGAAGGAACAAGATGGGGTCCTCCAGGCAGCTCCTCGGGGCTCAGCAAATACCAGCAGAACCGGGCATCAGCCATGGGTCATGGCAGGCTGTTTCTGGGGTTCCCAGTGCACCTACGGACCAAGTGTCCTGCCTGGGGTATATGTCTCCAGGGCCGGAGTCTGGCTACAATTGAAACGGGGAGCCGGGTGATTCACTGTCCTTCCCACCGAGCAGGAGGGCCCTTCCTGGGGTGCTCCACCTGCCCAGATAGCCCCTAGGGGAGCCACAGACCTGGCACCCACCACCCCTCCCCATAGCCAAGCCCGGGCTCCGCCGTGGCTCCATACCCATCTGTTGGGGGGTCCTACCAGGAGGCAGGCCAGACTCCACTGCGCGGGTCATTCTGGGGCAAGACAGCCTATCTGGATACAGGGTGCATGGCTGTGGGTGGGAGAGGCTGGTGTTCCCAGGGTCCCCTGGCAGCCAGCAGGATCCACGCCTCACTTGGTCTACTGAGCCCCATCCTGCAAATCTGCATTATGGAGAAATCCGATTCGGCCTGTTTGCCCCAGAGCAGGACGACGGTGAAAGGGGAAACAATCTATGGCAGTTACCCTCCCTTGCCCGAAAGCACCGAGTGTTCTCCAAGAGTCACCAGATCCATGGACCCTTGCTCTGCCAGTGATTCCAGAAACAGGATTTGGGTTTTTTGTTTTTGTTTTTGTTTTTTGCTGAGCCCCGGCTGGGTTTGTGGGCTGAAGTAGTTACAAGATCAGAGGTCGGGGGGAGGGGGTGGCTTCTGGAGAACCAGGCGGGTCTGTAGAGCCCAGGCCTGTGGACCTCAGATTGCCCGTCATTAGTGTCCCTGAATTTTTCACTGGTGGTGGTTTTCCTATTCAGCCCCCAAAGGCAGGTTTACCGGAAGCCAGGCACACTCTCTGTAGGGAGAAAGCAGCCCAGACGGCAGCTGACGGGAGGGCCATAGCCCGATCCCACCAGCTTTTGGCCGCACATCTGAGACATTATTCCCGCGGCAGATAGTTAGTGAGTGTCCGCAGCATGCAAGGCCCCGAGGACGCCAGAGGCCCTGCACGTCATACTGGTTTGCGTGCTGGCCACGGGGCAAGGCGGGGAGCGCTGGGGACGTGGGCTGCCCGGTCCGGCCAAGGCCCAGCAGGAAACGTGTGGTGTGTGCACAGATCAGCAGAACAATCCACAGCCTCAAAAAAACAAATGCCTCCGGTTAGGGCATGTTGGCACGGGTTTCCGTCAGATCTACCACCCTGCATTTCCGAAGCACTGGGAACATGGCGTAGGAGGAAGAGCCGGGCCTGAGCTGACGGCAAGGGAACTGAGTAGGTGCTTCAGATCCACTGGAGGCCAATGACAAGCAGCAATCAGAGTTGATGGTGCTTTCTGGACACTTGGGGGTCGGGGTCCAGTGACAGAGGCTACCTGTTCTCATAGCATCTGTGGCCTTCCGTGGAATGAGTGCCTCACAGACGGTTCCCACGCACATGAAGGGATGCACTAGGCTCTCCTTCAGTTAGGAAGAGGAAGCCTCTGCCCACAGGCGGGACCCCCGGGGGAAGCAGGTGCATCAGAGCACATCCCTGTTGCCAGGCCGGGATGTCCAGATGCACCCCCCCCCACCCCCGCCAGGCTCCCAAGAAGGTACAGACTGAGGGGCCTGGCCCTGATCAAGTGGGGACCCCTGGAGGTTTTCTCAGACCCCCCTTCCCTCTCTCTGTAGGGTGCTTGTGGACGCAGCCGTTGTGGCAAAGGACACAGTCGTGTGCGGCTTTGAGAACGAAAACACGGAGTGGTGCCTAGCTGTCTGGAGGGGCTGGGGCACTAGGGAGTTTGACGTTTTCTACCAGTCCTATGAGGAGCTGGGCCGGCTGGAGGCTTGCATGCGGAAGAGAAGGTGATTCCTGTGGAATGACAGTCGTGGAGACCTGGCTGCCCCGGGCCAGTGGCTTGACCCCCCTGCCTGCAGCCTGCCGCCCCCCTGAGGACCCAGAAGATGGACTGGGTTCGCCCATGAACCACTTGCTGCTAGAAGTGCTGAGAAGTTACCACCCTGGCCGTGGTCTGGGGGGCTCCCCGGTTCTCCAGGGCAGAGTTAGCTGCCTACCTCCATTCTCCCATTGCTGGTTTTACAACCCAAGAGAAGCCGGTGGGGCCCAGTTGGGAGCAACTCCCCCTGCCTCCTCCATCCACTTCCAGGAGCAGGAGAGGGGGATCCCGCTCCGCACTGGGTCACACAAAGGGGGGCTGGGTCTTCACGGCACAGTTCCCTCCCCAGGTCTGGGATGGCATTACACTAGAGGCTCTCAGTTGGGGAGCATTTCGGGGCAGGGGAGGAGGGGGCCGTGACCTCTGCCCCTTCCCCTAGTGGCCTCCAGGCTCTCAGCGCATTTCACAAGCCCCTGGGGCTCCGGGGCCCCAGGGCCCCGCTTGGGCAAGGTGAGATCAGATGTCTCCTGCTCAGGAAAGTCTCTGTGAGAGAAGCCCTCAGAAGGACCCTCGGGGAGGAGTGCTGCCCAGCCTGGGGGAATGAATGAGTTCCTTTAAGTGACCCAGCCGGAAAGCCAAGAGCTAACGCAGGGCTCAGAGCACCCACTCAGCCTCTACATTCTTCTCCTGCCGACAAAAGGCAGGGGAAACTCAATCATCAGGACTTAAGAAAGGGCCGTGTGTTTATAGCTTTGTAAAGTAAACTTGGACACAGCTGAAGCACAAGCCCTGTTTGTTTGCACATAATAATCTTGTTTATCACTTTAACAAATTAAGTAATAGCTCAGTGGTTAGGCCCCGGTTGTGAAATCACATCATATGGGGCTTCTACCAAATTATGCATTTGCTCAGCATTGACTACACACATGTACAGCAAAATCTAAAGAGCAAAATTGTTAATGGGGGGTTTATGGGTCTGACAGCGACCGTTTTTATAAATTATGCGCACACACGCACACGTACCACATGGTTCCCAAGAGGAATCACTTAAGGCTGCTGACCCCAGAACGGCGGTGTGAACATGAGATTGTACTCCAGTTCAAGTTGTTGACCTTTTCCTAAAATTAAGTTATAAAAATCAAACTTAAGATTGGCTGGGGTATGCGGGCAAATGTGGTTCCTTTTATCTGAAAATAAACCGATTCTCTTGAGAATGATGTCACAGCCTGTGTCTCCAGAGCGTGTAGGAAGGGCACAGGCTCTATCCGACCCAGGCCCACTCGCTGCCGGGGTAGAATGGGCACCCCCCCCTTGCCCACAGCTGCCCCCATGCAAGCAGCCCCCTAGCAGCTTCCGTAAGCAGAGACAGCCACCCTGTCACTTTCTTTCACTGGCCTGGGCATCGAGTCCAACAGGGCCTGCGAGGCCATGCCTCCTGCCCACATCCCCACCACATCCTGCCCCGGTCCCTCAGCTGGGCCTTGGTGCTCACCGCTCTCCTTCCCTTCCCATCCCAGCGCCCCGTAGCTGCCCAGTTGCCCCCCAAATGTAAACTGGGTCCTGTCTTTCCCCTGCCCCCATCCCACCCTCTACAACCTGAAGCCAGACTGCTAGGCTGATGCTCAGGGCCCCCACGATCCCATCCTAACCCACCTTTCTGACCTGGCCTCCTCCCAGCGCGAGGCCCAAGCTGCTGTGAGGAGAGGCCAGGCCTTTAGCCCACGGCCTCACGGTGCCGGCTTAGGGTAGCTCTTCACAAAAGTTAGAAACCATACAGGAAATGGTTTCACTACATAAAAATTAGAAACTTAAATGGAAAAACTACCACAGTCAAAAGACAGTCAACTGGGAAAAAAAGATTGGTGACAAATGAGAGAAAAAATAGCTAATTTATCTTATATACAAAGAGTTCGTACCTATTGATAAGAAAGAGAAAAAAGGAAAACAGAGGACATAAATAGCACTCAACCCCCCCCCCCAACAGTCAGGAAGTAGTCATGAGGACAGCAACAAAATGTCATTTACTATCCTCATGTTGGCACTCCTGCGGAGATCTGAAGGCACCACGTTGGAAGATCCACATGTGCAAAGGCCCTGTGGTGGGAATGAGCTGCTGTGCTGGAAGGACAGATGAAGAGCTGGTGGGGCTGGAGCGTTTGAAAGAAGGGGGAGGGTGGCGCCTGGGTGGCTCAGATGGTTAAGCGTCTGCCTTCGGCTCAGGTCATGATCCCCGGGTCCTGGGATCGAGCCCCGCATCGGGTTCCCTGCTCTTCGGGAAGCCTGCTTCTCCCTCTCCCACTCCCCCTGCTTGTGTTCCCTCTCTCGCTGTGTCTCTCTCTGTCAAATAAATAAACCCTTAAAAAAAAAAAAGAAGGGGGAGTTCAGAGGCCCGCTAGGCATGGCTTTGTAGGCATGGATCTCCATCAAAGCTACTGGTAGTTTTAAGCAGGGATGTTTGATGACCCAATTGTCTTTAAAAACCACTTCACTGAGTGCAAAGTGGGCTAAAGGGGAGCTAATCGACAGTTGGGCCACGCCTTAGAGCTAGCAGGCCCACTTAAGCATTTGATCCTGAACTTCCCGTGAAAGGGCCCAGTGCAGCAGAACAAGAATATCATTGCGGCATCACCTGTAAGTGGCCCCAAACAGGAAACAACCTAAACTTCTAGCAGGAGGAAAGTCGAAATTGCCTGAACCTCCAACCCTGCCATACTCCGCAGCCGGTCAGAGAAGGGGGCGGTGCTAACAGTCCTGCTCCGACATGATCTCCGGGGTATAATAAATGCACTGTTTTCCTAAAAAGCAACTCACAGTGTGGTGTGTCTAGAGTTACTATTTGAGTGAAAAATGTACAGTTCCGCAGGCATGCACAGGGGAAATATCCCAAAGGATGCCCAAGAGTCTGGTAGACATTGGTTGCCTCTGGGAAGGAGAATTGAGGGCTGGTGTAGAGTGGAAGGTCCTTAGCTTTTGCTTTATACTTTCCTCGCTGCACGGTTTGAATTATATATAAGCCTTTCCATGATGGTAAGCCAGGCTGGGAAGGGACTTCTCCCCTGGACCCCAGGAAGGACACACCTTGGCCTTGGTGTGCAGAGGTCATGGGAAGTCCCCATGGAGGGTATCAGACCCAGGGGCAGGGCCAATAATCCGTCACATCCATCTGACCTCATGGCATGGCTCAAGCAGAAACCCCACCCCCACCCCCGGCTGTCTTTGGGTTGTAGGCAGAGAATCCCAGGCTGAGGAAGACAGGTGGGAGGGACTGGGGACAGTTGACAAAGGCCAATGGACTCTGACCCTGGTCTGCCCTTGCCCTGGTATTGTGAACATGTGCAGCCCAGCTGCCGGTCAACAACCTCCCCCACCAAGGAGATGAACACCCAGCCTCCTCCCACCTCCCTGCACCAGGGAAAGCAGCAGCCTTTCTTACGACCGGTCACTGGCTGGTCACCGTCTTCCAGGGCCACTGATTACTCGGAGTCTCTGCAATGCCCCTACCTGGAGGTGCACTAGACCCCACCTCCCTGCACAGCCCCTCCAACAATGGGAATGGGTCCTGCTTTCTCTGCTGTTCCTCTTGCAGAAAGTATCTGCTGAACCTCCAAGGAGGCATGGGGACACAGAACCCCCCCACTAAGGCTACAGAAAAACAGCATCGTGAACCCCTCTAGATGCCAGCAGACTGATGCCCCGGAAGAAGCCACAGCTTCTGGCTTGTCAGGACCTGGGGCTTCAAACCCTCTGCCTCCCTGAGTACCTAGTGATATTTCCCATCCTGGGCAGAATGGAGCAGCCTTAAAGGAAATACGGGCGGGGAGGTGGGGGCAGTTAATTAAAATAGCCCTTACAGAACCTCTGGCAGAAACTGCTCAGTAACAGACCCTGCTTTTGCTGGTGCATCATTTCTCAGCCTCCCTTACAGGGAGGGGTGGGCCCTGGGATGGAGCTCAGCCAGGGATGGTGTGGAGATGGCTGGGGACAGCTTCAGGGAAGCACCATCAAAGGGCTGACTCAGTGGGAGCCCCTTCAGCCCTGCCCCTGCCTCCCCGGTCCTCAACAGAGCATGAGGGCAGGGCCTTCTAGGGATGCCAGGAAAACCTTGGAACAGTGATGGAGAGGCAGCCCTCCATGCCAGTCCTGGATGCTGACCTCCAGTCTCCTCATTGCCTCATGGACCAGGAAATCACTTCCTTGTTTAAACCAGTATTTTCCAACTCTCCACTACTAGCAGCCCAGTGCAATTCCTAAATGTTCAGGTATATCTTCCACTAGCACAACCCGAGCCCCAAGGCAAGCAAGTGATGCTCTCAGGCTGTCCTTAACAAGCTCAGGCAGAGGGACCTGCGCAATGATGAACTGGAACATTCTGTGGCCAGACCTGCCCCAAAAGTGGACATGGTCTATAGATCTTTTCCCTGGAACAACCTACAAAGAGGTCAGGATTGCATCCTAGTCACCCAAAGGCCAGCTTTGATGTCCTGCAAGTTTAAACCTTCAACTCTGAGCAAGCTACCCCACCTCTGTGGCCCTGATGTCTTCTTTGTGAAATGGCATGACAACTCTCACCCTGTCAGGATCAGGAGAGACAGTGTATGTGACAGCCCCAGCCTAGCCCCCTACCAGGGCCAGGATGCCCTCCCTGCCCCCCAGTCATGACCACCCTCTCCCCTGTCATTACAATCTAGGAAGGCTCAGAAACACTTGGAAGAACTATGGCCATGAGTAAGAAGGGGGCTCATGTGAAACAAGGAAGGTGTAGGTGTTGGGTCAGTTTTATAGTGAGTACTCAGTTTTGTAACAGATGTAGCATTTTGTGTATGTTTTATCTGATGCTTAGGGTGTTTAAAGCACTGAAGGTAATCTAATATTTTAGACTTTGATTACAGCAGTCAGCAAGAGAAGAAGAAAGGAAAAAAGAAACTACAAAATAGGCAGAAGACAATTAATGAAATGGCAATAGTAAGTCCTTATCCAGAATTACCTTAAATATAAATAGATTAAATTCTCTAATCAAAAGACAATGAATGACTGAATGGCTAAAAAATAAGACCCAACTAGGTGCTGCCCACAAGAGACTTTACTTCAACTTTAAGGACACACATAGGCTGAAAGTGAAGGGATGGAAAGTGGTAGTCCATGTAAATGGAAACCCAAAGAGAGTAGAGGTAGCTAAACTTAGATAAAATAGGCTTTAATTCAAAAACTGTAACAAGAAACAAAGTCATTATATAATGATAAAGAGGTCAAATCATTAAGAGTATAACAATTATAAAAATATATGCACCCAATATCAGAGCACCAAAATAAATAAATATTAACATTTCTAAAAGGAGAAATAGATAACTATACACTAATAGTAGGGGATTTCAATACCCCATTTTCAACAATGGACAGATCACCCAGACAGAAGGTCATTAAGGAAACACTGGACTTGAACTACACTTTAGAGTAAATGAACCTAACAGACATATACAGAATATTTCATCCAACAGGAGCAGAATACACATTCTCCTCAAGTGCATACAGAACATTCTCCATGATAGATCATATGGTAGGTCACAAAATAAGTCATAGCAAATTTAAGAAGATTGAAATCATATTAGTATATTTTCTGACCACAATGGTAAGAAACTAACATTAATATCAGAAAGAAAACTGGAAAAATCACAAATATGTGGAAATTAAGCAACACACACCTGAACAACCATTGGATCAAAAAAGAAATTGAAAGGGAAATCAAAAGATATCTTGAAACAAACAAAAATGGAAACACCATATACCAAAACTTATGGGATGCAGCAAAAGCAATTCTAAGGGGGAAGTTTACAGAGAGTATGCCTACAATAAGAAGGGGGAAAAATATTTTAAATAAGCGATGTAACTTTACACCTCAAAGAACTAGAAAAAGAATAAACTAAAAAATAAAGTTAGCATAAAGAAGGAAATAACGAAGATCAGAACAGAAATAAAAGAAACCCGAGACTAGAAAAACAGTAGAATACATAAATGAAAATGAACTTGCTTTTTGAAAAAAGAAACAAAATTGGCAAGTGTTTAGCTAGACTAAGAAAAAAATACTCAAATACATAAAATTAGAAACAAAAGGGGTACAGATTACAACTGATACCACAGACATACAAAGGATCATGAAAGCCTACAGTGAACACTTATACCACAACAAATAGGATAACCTTGATGAAATGGATAAATC